TCCCTAAGGGCTTAAAGCGTATTTTTCGATGCGTTTTTCTCAATGAAGGAATTTTTTTGAATTTTTTCTATATTTTTATGTCAATCTACATGCATTTCTGCACAAAATGAAGCAATAAAAATTTTCACCGCACACCACCTTTAATTCGACAATACCGTATTTTTCGGTGTGAGACCCGCGAAAAGTTTTGGCATTGAGCCTTCAAGCATACTGTAACTAATGCTGCTTTCTCAATCTTTTTCAAAATAAATATTTCTAATTCATGCTTTTTACATTCAGAACCAATTCCTCTGTTTCAAAATGGCCGTCGTGTGGACTCCACTCGAATCGAATCCAACTGTCATCAATCCGGTTCGTCGTCTCGGTGGCTTGGTCACCTCTGCATTACAATCCAATTTAATTTGTCTTCCGTTTTTAGATGATCGAAAAAATGGGAGTGAGTGGCGTCAAGACGGTCGATGTACTGTTCTTCGAAGACGATTCTATCGGACAACCGCAGCATGCCGTCATTCTTTGCTTCCCGGAGTATAAGAAGGTGTGATGTTTTATAATGAGATTCGGGTAGATTACCAAGGGATTTTTAGGTCGACGAAATCATGAAACCGATCTACGAGCAAGCCAAGGCTGCGGATGATTCCGTGTTTTTCATGAAACAGGCACGTTGGCCAGGGGATGAAAAGAAAGACAGCTTTTTTTTTCAGAAAATCTCCAACGCATGCGGAACATTTGCTCTCTTCCACTCGCTTGCCAATCTAGAAGACCGCATCAACCTGGGTACGTCTTTTTTGTCGGTTTTCTGATCTTATTTTTTTAACCTTATATTTAAAACTTTGACGCTGGCGCCAGAAATCAATGCAATCGCGCCCCTCTGCCCGGTTCTGAACTTTTCGCATGATTAGGATGACAATTTTTATTTAAATGTGTACCTTTGCTGATTCTCTTGAATTAACCTTAACATCCACTTACAGGTGATGGAGCTTTCGCTAAATGGCTCGCAGAGGCCAAGAAGGTTGGCGTGGATGAGCGTTCGGATCTTCTTGCAAACAGTGAGTTTCCGTAATTAACAGCTTCATTTCCGTAATTTTTCATTCTTTAGATGCCGAGCTGACTGCAATCCACGCTGCTGCTGCCACTGCTGGACAAACTGATCCAAGCGGAGAGGTTGAGCATCATTTTATCTGCTACGTTGGAAAGAACGGAATCCTTTATGAAATCGGTAAGTTAGTATCCATCCTATTTGTATTCGAGCTCATGATTTGCACTTCAGACTCTCGTCTTCAATTCGCTCGGGAGATCGGCCCAACCTCGGAGGCAACTCTCGTGAAGGATGCCGGGGCGGCGTGCCAGCATCTCATCCAAAAGCTCGACAACGTCAGCTTTTCTGCTATTGCTCTTGTCAACCAGTAGTTGATCTCTCTTCTGGTTTTTCTTCCTGTTCCATCTCCGCTTTAATATTGCTTTACGCCTGTGATTTCGAATTTTGTAACATTGACACAAATACTATTTTGCTTTTCCGCATATATAAAGTTTTTGCGCATAATATCATTCGAACGGCGATGTTTTATCTGGTAATCAGTTGATTTCCATAATGTACTTATTCTAGTGTAAACGTGAGAGCTTCCCAACAAGATTCCAGATGGCACCAAAAGGAAAAGGAGGTTGGCAAGCATTGGAGTCCAATCCTGAGACGATCAACCCGGTAAGAAATCTCAAAATAAGAAAAATGCCCATAAAAACACCTCCACTTCAGTTCCTGAAAAAAATCGGAGTCAGTGGGTTGGAATGTGTCGATGTCTACTCATTCGACGAGGAGATGCTCCAATTCATTCCCACACCACAGCTCGCTATGATTCTTTGCTTCCCAAGTTCCGAAGCTCGTGAATTTCTCTCCAAGCAATACGAAGAGGTTGAAAAGAATGGAAAGAAGCCGGAAGGTGTATTCTTCATGAACCAAAGCGAAGACATCGGAAATGCATGTGGCACATTTGCTCTATTTCATTCGCTGGGAAATCTTGAAAATCGGGTGAACCTTGGAAAAGGAAAATTTGCGAAATGGTTTGCAAAGGCTAAGCTGGTTAAAGAAGACGAACGCTCCGATCTGTTGTCTGAAGGTAATTGACTTAACTTCAGGTATTATCATGATTTTCATTCTGAAAATTTCAGACACTGATCTAGCTGAAGCTCATGATGAGACAGCAGGAGAAGGAGACACTGAACAAACCGACAATGTGGACTACCATTTCATTACATACGTCAACAAAGATGGTCAGCTTTATGAAATTGGTAAGTATACATTTGGAGTGTTAATAAAATATGGAAATTTTTCAGACTCTTGTGCTCCATTCCCACGTCCGCTTGGATCTACATCCGATGCGTCAATGATCAAGGATGCTTCCGTTGCTATCAAAGAGCTCATGAATAATGTCGCCAATCTCAATTTTTCTGCCATGGCCCTCATTGGGAAGTAATGCGTATCCTATGTGTGGGTGTGAGTCTTCTTGTGAATCGAAATCGGTTATTTTTTCAACGCTGGTTAATTTCCAATGTTTTTGACTTTACTGTATTTTCCATATTTATACATAAAACTATTCATGATGACCTTTCTTTTTCATATTAAACTATGCTATACAATATTACACCACCCAAAAAGTCAGGCACTGGGTGGACAGAAAAACATGTTATTAAGCAAATTAAAGCGATACGTTTCGGTCACTTCGGTCCTTCTTCTCCTTTTGTCCTTCTACGTCGTTCTTCGTTTTGTTCCTCGATTGATGTGGAAGCGTAGAGAATCGAAGTATTTACCATTAACCTGATATCAAGTTTATATCCTCTGATTTTATCGTTTTATCTCCGTGTTATCTCAAGTCCAAGTTTCAACTTTTCGGCGGCGCCAGACAGCCGCTTGATTTGATTTAACTAGAATGAATGAAATTTGATATAGTATAGATCGTGGAGGTCATTACCCCGGACCACAGTATAAAATAGGGTCGGGCAGTCTTTGATTTTATCAGTCACATCAGTTTTTTGGAATTTTCATAAATTCTTATTATTCTGGTACAAAAAAATCGGACCTGTGGAAGAGAAAAGCCGGTGGCCGTGGCTCCCGCAACGACAATTACCGTAACCTAAAAATACGTTTATTTTCTGGAATTCTTTTCTAGTTTTTCACTGCTTCTCATCATTTCCTTCAATTATTGCTAGTGAAAATAGACTGAGAACGCACGAAAATCGAGACAACAAATCCGGAAAGTCCCAAAAAAAACGCGGAAAAAACATTAATATTTAAACATTCCGGAAAAAAAACACAGTGGAAGAGAAACGCCGGTGACCATGGCCGAAGGTCCCGCAGCGTCAACTACTGTAACCTAAAAAATTTTATTTTAATTATATTTTTAAAAATTGTATTTATGTTATCGTTGTTCGTGCGTTTTCAGTCAATTTTCACCCAATCAAATGTTATGCTTGTTCCGGGAAAAATAACAGAAACTCGACGAAAAACAATAAAAACGAGAAAATTATATTTTTAGGTTACGGTAGTTGTCGTTGTGGGCATCACGGCCACCGGCTTTTCTCTTCCACAGCTCCATTTTTTGTACCAGGATAATAACGAGAAACGAATTTTCCGGTTTTCCGCAATTTTGAAAATTTCGAGTTATCCCATTCAGCAAAGAATCATATGATCATGTCTAGTCATTGATCCTTTCCTCTTTTTTCCTCGTTTTTCGACACCCAACCGAATCCACGTGACAGAATTGGAATCCAAAACGCCTCCTTTTTTCCAGCCTCCGCCTTTTTTCTTCGTCCCCCTTCTCCCTGTCCTCCGTATCAGTAAACCATCATAAAAATACAGTGGCCACCAGCATGTGTCAGCGCCTGATTGATAGTGTTTTCAATTTTGTTTTCAATTTTATTCAGTTCTCTAATATCTTCCGAAGTTCTCCTCTATACAACTCTCCGAATATTCCAGAATGCGTCGAAATTCTTTGACCAACATGCTCGGCGAGTTTGTCGGATTCAACCGATCGCCTGGAGCACGACTCTCTTCCCTCTCGAATCAAGAACTCAATCATGCAGTGAAGGAAGAGAAAAGAACATTCCTGGTAAGAGTCTCATTCATCTGAAACCATGTCTCATATCTACTTCAGGAACAAGAAGCCGTCGTTCGTCCGGAAAAGAGAAAGCCACGTCAGAGATATTTGTCAGAAGGAGATATCCGAGTGGTTTCATCACATCCAGTTTCAGTCAGCGAATTGAAAAGAGGACTTTCTGGTGGACAGCAGACAACTGTGGTAAGTACTTGGGTGAGAAGTTAGATGAAATTTTTTGATTTTCAGAAAGTTTCTGCGAACCCTGCTGGTGGTGATGAAGCTTCAGTTGATGTGGTCTTAAGATCAAAGAATCCAAAACGAAAGGATCGACCAACGAGCTTGATTGAGAGAATCCGGAGAAAGATTAGCTACACTAAAACTGGCGTAGGATTTGAGATTTTTTACAATTCCAAAACTATATTAAAATTTTCAGGCAATTATCGAGTCTGATGAGGAGAAGGATCACATTGAGGATGGACCAACTGGATTCCCAAAACGACGAGATTCAACCCTTTCTGAGCGTCTATTCATCCCAATCACACCAGTCGAAGCAGTTCCAATTCGAATTGTGCAAGTGTCGAATTGAAGGGAATATAAGAAACTACTGTTGAATGATGCACTCAGGAACTATATCTTTGATCTCGTCTCTTTCTTTCTCTTTTTTGTTCTTTTCTTTCCACTTTTGTGCCAGTTTTCTTGTCCTATATTTTTTTTTCTCGGCCATAAAGACTAAATGATTCATCTTCTGGTTTTTTTATTCATCGTATTCTACGAAAACTTTTAAAATATTTTCAAATAGAACGTGTGGAATTTCTTTAGAAGTTGTTAACAGCTGCCAACTGAAATTTTCTATCTTTGATTCTACAGTAGAAAAGATCTTGTCTTGCTGTTTCAGAATTTCGAAAACTATAAATTTTCACAATAGTTTTGTTTACAGCGAATAAGGAACTAAAAACGGCTGAATTCGAAAAATGAGAGTGTCTGTGATTACAGGTGAGAAGTCAAAGTATCGTTTTTTTTTTGTTTCGGTGGATCTCTGGTAAAAGAAATAGTTGTGGAATTAGGTGAAATGACTGAAAAATGGCTAAATATCATAACTATGAAATCGTCACTGTTTGGTGAACAGTTACAGTAATCTCTTGTTATTATGTGACGTGAAACATTTGGAGCTATAGAAGAGCACGGTGTTTCTTGGAACGTTGCCTGAATGAGCTCAAATGCGATTAATGTAATTATACAGTAAAATATCGTTGGGTCTCGACACAATAGCTTCAAATTGAACTTCTGAGTCGCTACTCGGCGGAGCGAGTATTCCAAAAAAACGCGGAAAAAACATTAATATTACAACATTCCGGAAAAAAACACAGTGGAAGAGAAACGCCGGTGACCATGGCCGCAGGTCCCGCTGCGTCAACTACTGTAACCTAAAAAATTTTATTCTCCGTATTTATGTTATCGTTGTTCGTGCGTTTTCAGTCAATTTTCACCCAATAAAATGTTATACTTGTTCCGGGAAAAATAACAGAAAACTCGACGAAAAACAATAAAAACGAGAAAAATATATTTTTAGGTTACTGTAGTTGTCGTTGTGGGATCTTCGGCCACGGCACTATCTTTTCTCGTCCACAGATTTAATTTTTTCGTACCAGAATAATATGAATGCAAATTTCAAAATCATTTCAGTGAGCGACTCCAGCCACGCCGGAACCCGAGTCGACGAAAGTGGACCGAAACTGGTTGAGCTCGTCGACAAGTCACTGAAGTTCGTAATCCATCTGATGACTCATTTAGACAGCACGAGTTTGTTATTCAATTTCGGATGTGTCTCGGTGACAGCATTCTCTAAAAAAAGTGAAAAGTTTGAGATGCCGTACGAATCTCTCATTTTTTGTCTCGTTTTTCTCCCCCGCATTACCGCCTGATTGATTGATGACTCTTGTATCAGTGACAAGAGACCCGAAATGATAAATCAAACGGTCCTTCTTTTTTCTGCAGGGTCAATGCAACTGTCAATGTGGGAAGTCCGACTGTGGTGCCAGATGATGTCAAAGAGATTCGGAAGGCTCTTCTTGAAAAGTGCAAAAATTCAGGTATCGCATAATCGAGAATTCGGGATTCAAAACGTTTGATTCGATTATTCAGATGTCATCATCACCACCGGAGGAACCGGATTTTCGAAAAGAGATGTCACTCCAGAAGTACAGTACTCCTCACGTCATACTGTTATTTATATCTTCATATATTTTAGGCAACGCTAGAAGTTATCGAAAGACGTTGCAATGGAATGGAGATTGCAATGCACACTGGATCCCTTAAAGTGACACCGATGGCAGCTCTTTCTCGAGCAATTGTTGGAATTCGTGGAGGAACCCTGATTATCAATATGCCAGGAAGCGTAAAAGCTGTTAAGGTGAGAATGCGAAAGACGTCGTGAACAAATTCTAAACATGTTCAGGAATGTTGGGAAATCCTGGAACCTGTCCTCAACCATGCTCTCGATCTTCTGAAAGACACCGACGACGGTAGCCAGCATCAGAGAATGAAATGATTTGTCAAATTTGATTTATAAAACTTCTTTCAATTATTACTATTATTCATTTAAACAGCTTTTTGAAACCTATTCAAGATCTTTAACAAATTTAAAAACGGAAGTAGCAAGTGGTTTTGGAGCTTCGAAGGCGGCAAAGTGCCCCATATCGATTTCAGTGTAGTGAGTGATGTTGTACAAGTATCGAGAAACTTCGATTGGACAACGATCATAGAGCTCATTGAGTCCGCTGGCATGTGCGGTTGGAACTGCGACGTATCTTCTGGAAACTTTATGATAATTGAGATACAGATGAGCAAATACTTACTTAGCAAGTGCTTCACATCGTCTATCGAGGAAGAATTCTCTGTAGAATCTTTGCAAGAGACAATGTTTCCATTCGTCCAGTAGATCATCACAATTGTCAGCAACTCATCGTTTGTGAACTTCTTGTTGAGTCCTCCATCTGGAAGAGCACGATATTCAAGATTTGTCCACGTGGAGAATTTCTCAATGATGTATGCAGCAAGACCGATTGGAGAGTCGTTCAGAGACGTTCCAGCAGTATCTGGCTTGGTAGCTTGAATATGCATGTATCCAGTTTCAACAATCAAATTTCCGAACTTTGCAAATGGATTGTGATTCTTCTGGAGTTCTTTCGAAGAGAGTGTCTGGAAACAGTCTACAAACTATTAGTAACGTGGATTTATATGATATGTTACCGATGGAACAAGCCAACCAAGAAAGTCGTAGAAAGTTCCCATGAAAGAGGCTCCTGGCATTGCTGGAATCATGTTCATGTGGAGAGCGATGACACTGAAAATATGAAATTATCGAAGTGCTTTTTATTGAGCTTTTCAAAACTCACTTATCTGGATAAACCTTCGTCAGGAGAGAAGTAATAATAGCCCCCCAGTCTCCTCCTTGCAGATAGAACTTGCTGTATCCAAGACGAAGCATCAATTTACGGAAGACACGTGCACATGCCAACTGCGAGAATCCAGTTTTCTTCGGTTGCTCTGACCATCCGTATCCTGGAATCGAAGGTGCAATGACTTCAAAAGCGAAATCAGAGTTGATTCCGTGCTTCTTTGGATCTGTGAGAAGTGGAATGAACTTGTAGAATTCGAAAACGTTTCCAGGCCATCCGTGAGCAACGAGAATCGGTTTGACAATCTTATAGGTCTTTGGTGGTTGAACCCGAAGGAAATGGACTTGTAGTCCTTCGATTTCAGTGGTGAATTGTGGAAATTGATTGAGAATCGCTTCTTGTTTTCTCCAGTCGTACTTATTGAGCCAGTAGTCACGGAGTTTCTAAAAAAGATTAAACTACTATAGGGAGACCAGAGTTGTGGATATTTACCAGAAGCTGCTTAGAGTTGAATCCATAATAGAAATCATCCGAGTCTTCGAGAACGCTGTGAGAGATGCGGGAGTTTTGGAGACGATGTTTTAGGTCCTGTAAATAATGTGGTCAGATTCAGGTTACGACAGGAATGTTCGACACGGCGTTTTCGGAATTTTTCGGAATTTTGAAAATTCCGAGTTTCGAAATTTCGGAATCTTTCAGTTTTGAAAAATTCGGAATTTCGGAATTTTCAACATTCAAATTTCAAAATAGAAACCTCATCTTCCATCACAAAAGTGCGGAAATTTGTGAAAATGACAAAATGCGCCTTTGACATACAGTAATCCAAAAGTTTATAACTAAGGAAAAAATCGACAAATTTTCCGAAGAGAAAACTTCGGAAATGAAAAAAAGTCGGAATGTTCGGAATTCCATCCCGAATATCCCTGATGAAGCTTTCTGAAAACTTACGTCAATAACTTTTTCATCTACAGACACTTTAAATGGCTTGATTTCAGTGTTGTCTGGTCTCACTTTGCCGCTACCATAAAAGTTGTTTTCTTCTAAAGTGACCTGAAAACCGAACTATTTTTTTAATTCAGTTACAAAAGTGTACCTCTTTTTCAGGGATCAAATTCCATACTGTAGCGATGAACACCCCGACTGCAACGGGGACCAAAATCAGTTTGAGAATACCCATCTGTAAAAAAAACTAGTTAGAACAATTAAACACCAGCGAACTGATCAGTAATCGAACAGATAAAAGAGACAGAATGGTATTTTGTTTGTGCCGTGCGCAGCGCTTTTATATCAGGAAAATGGTGATAAGACAATATAGAAAATAAGAGTGTAGCCAGAAGACACCAGACTCAAATTTAGTTCAACCCATCACAATAACTACAGAAAGCACGATTCGGGTAGAGGGCCACACATTCAAATTGATGGAGATTCTGAGAAAGATATGGGGTTATTCATGACATAAAAAATGTATTTTTTGGAATTTTTAAACACAGAAAATTAATGCATGCATGCGACAAAATGTATTTCATGTATTTTTTCGTATTTTTTTGTATTTAAAAAGCAAATCATGCATAACCCCAATACAGACAAAATTGAAAAAAAGGCAAGGACGAATTGGTTTTGGAACTGTCCCTTTTTGGTTCGGAATTGAATTGGTGTTATAGAAATAGAGAATAGAAGCAAAATGAAGAAAAAGAGGCAAAACTTCAGCTTGGCCCGAATGAAACATTTGACATAAACAAGAAGGAGCATCTGCTTCTCAAACGTTCTCTCTCCACTCCTGCAACTTTTCTTTTTTCTCTATTTTTCAACTGCCAATCACAAATTGGAGTAAACAACTGACACAAAACGCACACAAACCACAGGTCACAACGAACCTCTGCGTATCTTCGCGATATCGGAATCGCGCAATATTGCGATCGAAAATATGTCAACCGAACTAAAATTGGTTATGAAAAAAAATAATAGATTGGGTAGAACAAAAAGGATAAAGTGTTCATTCACAAGAAAACTACTGTTTAGAGTTGGCAATAAAACAATCTGAAAAGAAGTCACCGAGATTTTGTAAAATTATGAACAGAAATCACTGGAAAATTAGGTGAGTATCGGGAGGAATAGAATGAAGATGCTTATATTCCTCGAACAAATCGTAAAGAGTTTCACAATACTTTGCATGAAGCTCGTCGACTTGCTCATTTGTAGGTTCGTCTGTTTGAGTCACTCTGAAAGATTTATAATTTTCTGACTGCTTCGGTGAGTTTTCAAATACCGAATGGGTTTGCCGATGACAGTCGTGACTGGCTTTCGGAACGGAAGCAATCCAATGATGTACTGGTTGAAAATCGATCGACCTCGCAGCAAGGGTGGACATAGTCCAAATATATCCTTGATTTTCTCCTTAAAATCACAAGTTTCGCAAACTTTGACGTTGTGGAACTCACCTGAACAGCTCTGAGCCGCGAACCTTTCGGATTTTCATACTGTTCGTACAGATCGTTCTCTCCAAAGTTGTACATGGGAACAAGGTCTGCTCTGAAAATTTTTTTTTGATGAATTCATTTCTTTTATTCCTCACCCATATTTCAGAGCATATCTGCAGAAACCACGTCTGTTTTTTATCGTCAATATGTTTTTGTTTGGATGAGCATCTAGAGCTTCTGTTGCCCCACCGACCACAATCGCACACGCCCGTCCTTTACCGCATTTCGTGAGGGTGTATTCAAGTGATTCTTTCGATACTTCAATACCACCAAGAACGATTCCAAATTCCCGTCGAAATGGGAAGTAGAATTGCCCATTGAGTGTCATAATATGCGATTTGATACCAGGAAACTTGTCTTCGAATCCTGTTGCATTTGTGCTCATAGCCGTGAAACCGCCAACTGAGAACATTCCATGCGGGTGGGATCCGATGATGTAGTTACGATCCGGTGGCAACTCGGCGGTTTTAATCAATCGAAGAGGGAAGTAGTTGGCGAAATATTTCCAGAAGACGTGCCTCCTGGCCCAATTCTGAAAAAAATACATAAATGTTATTTATGAGCTATCAAATGAACCAACCCATCTTCGTGAAGCTTTTTTCGGAGTATCGAAATCGTAGTAAAACCAGACGGCATAGAGCGGAACCAGGAACCACCATCGAGTATTGAACAGGACATGGAAGGGAACCTAAAAAACAATGATATATTGTCATTTTCAAGGAACTGTAATAACACTCACCCAGAGGTCCATGATCGGCAAGATTACCCACATGAAAATGAAACCCATAACGGCGAGAGTCTCGAGTCGTCGCTTCCATGGTACCAAAAATGGCGACAGAATAGTAGACACCAAGGACACTACTTTTTTGTCAGGAAGCTTTGCCTTTCCAGATATCGAGTTCAGCCGGAGTCTCATTTCTGAAATTCGTTGCATTGCAGAAATATTTCTATGGCAACAGAACTCAAGAGAAAAAACATGCGCTTGATATGCTGTATAGCGCGACGAAATCAAACATCAAATTCAATAGAATACACATTTTCAACTTTCTCAGGTTATTTTACCGCAAATGCAAAGCAAAGTTCAATAAAGTTCCAGAATTCTGCAGAAAATGTCTGAATTGAAAAAAAATACAGTATACTGCATACTGTACTAAAGGAACATGCACACTTTGCGAAAGCGGCTCTCGTAGCGAAAGCGTTTTTGTAAAATCTGGTGGAATTTTTTCACAATTATTCAGGAAAAAAAGGAAAAAAAGAACGAAAACCTTCAAAAATCCACTATCAAATATAGAAAAAACATTATTAAATAAATAAAAAATCTGAAAATCTAGTGAATATTTCAGGGTGATACAAATATGAAAAATAAGTTGCCGCTTCCGACAAAGAATGAATGGAGTGTTTCTAAAATGAACATCTTCTCAAGATTTTAGGTAGAGGTGTTTTTAAGTGTTTTGTCGTGACTCACGAGTACTCTTGTCTCATCATCGAATTGTTCTTGTCCATGTGATGATGAGAGCGATGATGCCTGAACTGAGAAACTTCATGCACCTGAGGAAACCTGGGAATGCATCTGATGAATTCTGAAAATAGACTTCTCAGAAAAATTACTAAAAACAAAAATTGAAAGAAAATTCTACAGTAGGTCTTTGGGACAACTGCTTGGAGACAATAATTGGAGATCATAAAGACATGTTCGACATCAGATGGTTCAATATAAAAATGCAAAGCTAATATATTCCCAGAACCAGCAGTTGTCCCAGCTTCCAAACATTTGGTTCTGTTAAGAGTGAAATTTCGAGCTCGAATGTTGTCAAACCGGGATACTGTGTTTCCTCCAACAAAAGCCCACCAAACCGTCAACTTTGAGCTCGGCAATCTCGGTTCCTTTAAAGGATATCAAAAAATGTTCAACTGATAAATTATTTATCACGATATCACCAATATTTTATCAGTTGACAGATTTTTTATATCTCTCATAAGAATCGAGATAAATGAGCTCAAAGCGCATGTATAGGGCCTGCTTCTACTAGAGTGAATACGGTAACTCGAATCCAAACTAATTTCAACAAAAGCCGGACTAATAAAAACTCTACACTTTATTGAATGAGAATTCTAGAATATTCTCCGCAAGTACGTCCTGAAACAGTCTGCTCAAGTCGTTCGAATTTGGATTGTGTTATAATTCGGTGTACTATACTTTCTTTTCAAGATCAAGAAGAAAATGTTGATATTTGAACTCATTTGTAGCCTCCGCTACATCCTCATAACTCGTTCTTCAATTTCAAAGAGCTGTGTTTTTCTGCAGATATATCTCCTCAGCGAAAACTAGACTACATCGTACCCTCCCGAGAAAGCTTTCTCCTTTTTGTATTCCTCCGTTTTCTCTTCCCGTTCCTAACGCAAACCGAGTTCAAAAGAAAGTTGTTGCGCGCTACTATCCCGAGACAAAAACGACCCGATAGTAGGTCAGTCAAAACTTTCTATCTATCATTCGTCGTCTTTCGGCCAGTGTCCATGCTATTTTCTGTTATCGTACATTTTTTCTTTGACGTTTCACCCACCGGTCATTTTGTATGGAATGATGCTCTGTAGTGATTGTACTTTATGAAAAAAGTACTAGTTTTTGTCTTCACTAAGATTTTGATATTTTGAAGCGATTCAGTTGTGTGAAACTCTGAAATCTTTCAACTTTAAGCCTATTAATCTCGTTCCCTGTGAAAGATATCAAAAAAAATCTCAACTGACAAAATGTTTTTGATGTTATGATGAACATTTTATCAGTTAACCACTTTTTGATATCTTTGACAGGAACCTAGATAAATCGGATGGAAGATAAAAGTTAGAAGCCCTTCTATTACAGGTTTCTAATCTAAAGATCTAGTTTTATTTGTGTTCTTGTTTCCCTAGACTACAATGAATTGTCCCTCTATATCTACAGACATCTGTCACATCATCATCTTTGGGGTCATTATTGATCTTCATACTGGCTTGGTCCTACAACGAATGCCTTCTTTGTGCCCTAGTAGCCTACAAGGTTTCCTTTCCTTTTTTGCGTTTAGAATCCTCTGAATGCAAATTTCTCCGAATCTCCACGTCTTCATATAAAAGAAAAATATCCTTTGCATTTCCGTGCCAAGAGCTGTTTTTTTTTCTTTTCGTTTTTTGTTTTTTGCTCTGTCTCTCGGGCAAAAAAAAGCAAAAACTAGTGTCTACTCTAATACTCCACTCAATTTTGTACTATCACCTCTCTGATCATTTTCTATCAATACAAATAAATTTTTTGTTGCTTTGAAAGGCCCCGATTGGTTATCAAAAAGGAATACGAGCACATGATTCTTCGCTAGCAATTGAATATTTTATCAGATTCTGATAATCAGCTAGAATACAGTTCAACACATTTCCTATATGAAAAGTTTTCCGTCCATTAAGTTTTTCATTTACTCATTCCAAGGTGGTCATCACATTAGGTTGATAAAATGTTAACAGTTGGTCTTGCCTGTCCATCAACAAATCGAATTCGTTCATTTTATTCTTTATTCTCAAAATCACACTATCAATCAAACTTCGATTCTTATTTTTATTTTTGTTTTTCATATCATAATTTGCAGATGTCGTCCAAAAAGAAGACGGTTCGTTCTCCTTATCCACTTCCAACCAAATTCCCAACGCCACTTGAACAGGCATCTTATAAGACTTATGTAAGTTCAAATCATCTGGTCTGAAGTTCAGACTCTGAACCTCAATTAGCTGCAATTGACCTTTTTGAAACTTGATGTCATTTTGAGAGAGAGTACACAAACAAAACACGTTGTGAAGTAGGTAACACCAGTACTATGCGAAAAAAAAGAAAAGAACAAAAAACAACGTCTCTATCTGATAGTGAGATTTAAAATTTTTGATTAGAAATAGACATTGCAGTATTACCGTAAAACCTGTAATAGAAGGGCCCGAAACTTTCAACTGTGAACCGATTTTCTCTGTCCCTGTCCAAGACATAACAAAAAGTTGTCAACTTATAAATCCCGAATTACTGAAGGTCTTCCTCATTTCAGAATTGGATCGAAAACAGTCTTTGGCCAGTGAAACCAATTCCATATGTAGCCACAACCGTTGCTCTTGCTGCCACATTACACTACAAATATCCAGAGAACGCGATTCTCGATGTTCTTCCAAAGTTCTCCTCGGAGGCTGCTGAAATTGCAAAAACTGCTTTAGTGTCGGCCGTCGGAACCTATGCAGGAGTATTTACACTTCGAAAACTTCTCAAGTATTTCTACTTCTCCTACAAGGGTTTCCTGTTTGATAACCCAAAGAAACCATGCCTGAAAACAAAAATTTGGGGTGTAAGTTAAAAAAGTATTGTAAATTGAAATTTCTAAATGTCGGGATTTCAGATTGTCCGACACATTCTATCCATTTCCCCTCCGATTCTGGAATCTTGTGACCGCCTTCTCCCGAACCTTCCCGTTCCTGCTCTCAATGATACCATCACCGAGTACCTGTATTCCATGAAACATATTCTGACTGAACAGGAATTGGAAACAATCACAAAACAGGCACAAACTTTCCTGGACGAGGAAGGGAAGAAGCTACAAAGATACACTAATCTCTACTCCCTATTCACTGACAATTATGTGACCTCATTCTGGCAAAAGTACGCATATCTGCATGGAAGATATCCACTTCTCATCAACAGCAGTGTTGCTCACTGCGATTTGCTCCGTGATAAAGATTCCACAAGAGCCCATAGAGCTGCTCGTGTCACTTGGATCGAGGTCATGTCTCATTTGGCAGTGGATCGACAACAGTACAAGCCTGTAAGTTTTGGTCTTGATTTATGATCGCACTTGTATTTTGTCTTTTTCTTATCACTGAAAACTAGGAGTGTTTTGATAACAAAAAGTTCTTATTTTTCAGCTCGGGGATGGTTTGGTGTGTACTAGACACTATAAAAATATGTATGCAGTTACTAGAGTGCCCGGAGAAAAAATTGATCAACTGAAACTTCATGGAGTACAGAAACATATTGTGGTGGTGCTGCGTGGAAAGTATTACAAGGTTCATGTGGTGGATGATAAGAACAACATCTACACAATTGAACAGTTGACCAAGTAAAAAACATAACATAGATAATCTCATAACATTCTCCCATTTATTACAGAATCTTCCACGAAATGATCTCCAGAGATGAGAAAGAGGAAGGTGTTATTGGTAAAGTAGCCGCATTAACCCATGATACAAGAGACGCTTGGTGCAAGAACAGAAAGAAATACTTCCTTGAAAACGAAACCAATGCTCAAATTCTGAAAGAAATTGAGAGTGCAGTCTTTTTCTTCACTCTCGACGAAGATGACAACTACGGATACGATCCAAAGGATCCTGAAGTTCTTAACAATTTCCTAGCCAACACATTGTCTGGTGACGGAACAAACCGATGGGTAGACAAATCGCTCAACTATATTTGTTCAAAGAATGCTCGATGTGGTGGAACAACAGAGCATTCAATTGCGGATGGCGCTGAATTTGATCACATCATGGAGAACTTTGTCTATGTTGATCTGGAAATCGTCGGTTATAAATCTGTGGAAGAACAGGAGAAAATGGCAAGCATGTCGGATAATGAGAAGAGCTCTTTGAAATTGGCCACTCCTTTGAAATTCGACGTTCCCGACGAAACGGTTGGTAGCTCTAAATTAGAGCTTCTAATATATAAGATCTTGTTCTAATAGCCAATTTTAGATGCTCACCGAAATCACTCGTTGCTACGAAGCTCATCAGGTGTCCAAAAACGATCTTGATCTGTTTGCTCTCGCATTCCGAGATTTTGGAAAAGGACGTATCAAGAAGTGTGGAGTGTCTCCAGATGCATTCATTCAGATGGCAATTCAATTGGCCAACTATAGAGATCAAGGAAAGTTCGTTCTCACTTACGAACCAGCTTCTGTCCGCTTCTTCGCCAACTCCAGAACGGAAACTTTGAGAACTGTTAACGACGATTCGTGTGCATTTGTGGAAGCAATGTTGAATGAGAACGAAACAGTAAGAAAGAGCAAATGTGTAGGAAAAAAAATTAAAATTAAATTTCAGAAGGATGCAAAAATTGCTCTTCTCAAGAAAGCATGTGAGACCCATGTTCTTCGTAATAAGAAGTGTATGGTTGGACAAGGTGTGGACCGTCATCTCTTCGTTTTGTACATTCTCTCCCAAGGGACTGGAATCGAGAGTCAATTCCTTGATAACTACATTTCGCAAAAGTGGAAATTGTCTACTTCTCATGTGAGTTGAGACTATTTTTTGTCAAACTATTTTGTATTTATTTAAAGGTTCCGAACGTAACAAATCAATGTGACGAGGACACAGATCCAGACAACACTTGGCTGGGAGCCTGTTTCGGAGCTGTTGCCGCTGACGGATACGGTAACTGACATTGTTTAGGCACTTGATAATTTTTATTGCTTCAGGAATTTGCTACCGCTTCGGAGGAAATCATGGAATCTTTGCCAATATCACTAGCTACCACTCAGCAGCCAACACTGATTCCACGAGATTCGCTAAACTTCTATCCGAATCGTTCCATGAACTCTCTGATCTTTTTGTTTAGAATTCCACTTACTACGGTTTCTTTGTGCTTTTTTTGAACTCATATATTCTAACCCACTTCATGTACTACCTGTCTGTAATTTTTTGCGATCGATTATTTTGATAAAGTTATTTTTTTCAACGAAAACTAGAGGTAATAAGCAATACACAAAACCGGGTGCAGAAAAATCATCCGTCGATCACAGTTTTTCAGTCTGTGACTCAGAATGAGTTCTTGAAACGCAATGTCTGAGTCACGGCCCAAAATGTCAAATATCGTTTCCGATCAAAATGACAACTGAACTAGCTCTTTTTGTGATTGCGTCACTGAAATAGTGCATAGAAAGAAAGAAGAAGAGGAAGAAGATGATTTTTGTTAGGTGCAAACAACGAAACAGGTCGTAACTATTGATACGCTCCACGTGGAGCAAGAATACGAATTTTGTAGGGGGTAGATCAGAATTCGGTGTTCAGAAAACGATCGAATTCAAAAAAAGGTCAATGAATTCAAACAGTTTATTTTGAACACAAAGGGAATCCAAGAAATATAACAGAAATGTTCATATATGTCAGCTCATTGCAACTCTAATCTCGGCAACTTCTGGTCGGGGATTGCTCAGATTCCGGAGAAGAAGCCGACCGAACTCGGACAAACTCAGGACAAGGATCCGACCTTGTAGTAATTCATCTTTCCAGTTCCGATCAAAATCTAACCATGTTCCGCTGCAGAGCCGTTTTTTGGGCAATTTCTGACCAGTACCTGGCCAAGATCTATCCAAGTGCTGTACCCCTCTCAATTTCTGACCAAAAGTTACAAGGCAAGATCCAGCAAAGCCAGCCATCAGACAACAATCTAAACGAAGTTCTCAGTTCAAAAGAAAATACATCAATCACAGTTGACCATAATACAAGACTCCAACTTTGATCCAATTGTTAGTTATTGATTCCACTGAAAAATAAAAAATTCTGAAACAACGAGTTAAGTTCGACCATGCTCTTCACTTCTTTCTTTCATTTTTTGTTTGTCATAGGCTTTCACCAAATATGGAAATGTCTGATACCTCCCACCGATTCTTAGTCTTTAAACAAATAAAACTCGCCTGATGTCATTGAAATTCCGATAAGAGTTTGAATAAAAGTGGTTGGCATTCCCTCATTTCGCGTATCGGTTTCACTCGATTCTTCCCATCATGCACTCCTATCACAACCCTGTAAGTTTTTTTGCTTAATATTTCAAGTGAATTTAACGTCCTCCATTTTCAGAGTGTCCCAACGGCTCTCACCATCTTCGAACCACTCCAAGACGGATCCACCGTCTCTGTTCATGGACATGTTCGTCACGGACATCATAAGAACTTTTCCGTAGAGCTTTTGAGTGGACCAAACATTGTTCTCCATGTCAATTTCCGTTTCCACCATTCGCACATGGTTGCCATGAACTCTCAATTCAACGGAATGTGGGGACCAGAAATCAGTCACAGAAACCCACTTCACCACTCTGAGCATTTCCATCTTACCATCAAGGTCCATATGGGATACTACCATGTAAGTTGGAAATTCTTCTGAAACATATTTCAAGTTATTTGTATAGATCGCTGTCAACGGACACCATCTCGCTGACTACCCACATCGCTACCCATATCAATCCGTTCAAGCCGTCGGACTCAAGGGAGACGTTCACGTCGACAAGGTTCACTTTGAAGGATTCCACTTCCAACGTCGTTGGGATGGACACATTGACCACGGACACTCTGGATACAATGCCTATGGGACTGAAACCTACGTGGCTCCAGTGTTCATTCAACCAAACTTTGCTCCATACGGTGCTCCACCACCACTAGTCCAAAACTACAATCCATACAGATAAATCGACTTTTCAAAATCTATTATATTCTTGTTGTGCCAAATTCTTAATGTTTACTGTTTGGTAAATGTCCTTCAAATATAAATCTACGAAATGGCATATATTAATTTTTATTAAAACAGCCGTACTTAGAACAAAAAAGTTGATTCGTAAAAAATATTATAACTGATATCAATATATTGAATTCTCTTTTTTAGACCGAGAATTATAGATAGCGCATTTGTCAGTCATATATACAGGAAAAGTCACCGATTTTAAAGTGTGTGTGGAAGAACAAAAAAATGAGACATAAATATTCTCAATTCAATCAATATGAGTGGAGAGAAACAGGAAAAAAGAGAGAGTTTTGAATGGCAAAATACCTGAACACGGAGATTTTTTTGGGGGAAAGTTTGGAAGATTTTCGGATAATTGAAAGAATTTGTAGGGTTTAAGTGATGAAGTAGAAAAAGGTGAGAGATGGATGAGTGTTTGGGGGTTTCTATAATCTACATTTCTAGATTTTAGAAAAAGTCGATGGAACAAAAAGGAGAAAAAAATCAAGTCTACAGGTTTAATTTGGTGCCTACCCGGGAGAGAGATTACAACAAAACAACAAACAATGGGATGTCAAGATTCAAAAATACTGATTTAGACTGGGGGTGGTCCATTCACATAGGTCACATGGGGACCGAATGGTTTTCCGAAGACGTGGTAGTAGAAAATGGCGGCGAGAGCCGAGAGGAGGGAAAGAGCAAACGTGAATTTGATGAGACGAGATGAAGAGATTGCCTCCGAGACTGTTAGTGGCTGTTCATCGGATTCAGTTTCTGTTTCAGCCGTTTGAGTGGTCATGCTTCTTCCAATGGACTTGGATGGGCGTGGCTCTGGTGGATGGAATTGAACTGGTGGAGATGGAACCCGCACCATGTCGTTGAATCTGTAAAGCATAAGAAAATGGATTCAGAATCAATTAATTAATAGCTTACCTGTCCCTGAGTCTAGCCAAAGCGTTGCTATAAATCGAGAGCTCAGCTTTGAAGTCTGGAAGATTCTGTGTGCTTGTCTCATTTTGAATGGATCCCAAAGAAGCCGTCAAATAATTGCACATGGTTTCCAGACTATTCATTCTCTCCTGACACAATTCCATCTCCTCAGCAATCATTTTATTGTCCATCTGTCCTTCTTTAAGATGAGATTCAATGCGAACCATTGCACTTCTGATGTCGTTTTGGCGACTGTTCCACGCATCCCATTCTCCTTTCACTTGCGATAACGAATGAGCCATTTTGCCGATTCTATCCACAGCGTCGTCGTATCCTTCTGACACTGTCTCGAACTCACAGGAAAGATCTTTGGCAACGTCACGGAAAGTGGAAGAGGCAAGGAGGTCACTGAAAATGAAAAAGTTCATGGCTATCCAAAAATATAAAAATATCTAAAGATGAAAAAAAACTAAATATGGCAACATTTTCGTTTTTCCTGGCTTTTGTATGCACACAATACGCTAGAATAGAACAATAAATCTGACTCACCGCAATTCCTGCCTTTCACAGCTCAGACGACGTTCGATTGCCGTCACAGCGTCCAACGCTTTCATAACGTCTTCTTTCGATCGAATATCAACGTCTCCAAGGGATGCCATCGATGAAACTTCTTGAAGAGTAGCTGCGAATTTTTTAACTTGGTGCATAATTCGAACAAATGGACTGCGAATCGATTCATAGAGTGTGGACCAGTCGTTACGGAGCTCTTGCAGTGTACTCGTCTCCAAAAATGTGGCTGGTACCCGGTTTGGATTTTAAGTGCTTGATCGACTTGACGGAGGTTCGAGCGAGCGATCAATTCGAAATTCGAAAGATGTGGAATATCAGAATTACTCTCTTCGAGTGCCTTTTGAACAACTCTCAAGTGAGATTTCGACTCCTCAATCAGACGATATGCACTGGAAGTTCCAAAGTGCTCAGCAAAATCGTCATCAATATTCATTAATTGGTTAGAGATGTCTGTCATTGTTGGAGTGTGACGATCGGATGTTGAGTCGTCTTTTTGTGGTGGCTGAAAATAGAAATAGTTGAATCGGAAAGCGATTGAGATTGATTTGTTTTAGAATCCTAGAAGAGGTACCGTACCCTGTTCGTCGAATGTTTTCTAATTATTGGAGTAGCAATAGCAATCAATTTCGCAGTTTTTCGTGTCATCCGCGCAAGCATATATGGCGGAACGGGGCAAAAATGGGAAATGAATGTTATAATGTTTACAGGAAAGGGAGGAGGAGGAAAAGGTGAAATGTGAAATGCAATGCACTCAGTTGTCCAGTCCCCTTATTATTATTCATGTGTTCCTGAAAAGGGGAGGAGGGGCAATGAACAGCATGCGCCTGTTCAGCCACCTGGGATTTCTGGATGGGCATATTGAATTTGGAGAAGGATGAAGAAGAAGAACGACCTCCTCACCTTTAATTAGAGCCTTCGGGAGGTGAATGCGCGAGTCTTGGTGTGTCTCCACGAAAACAGATTATTGCACAAGAATGAACCGAGTGGGTGAATAAGACAAATGGGGCTTCCTAGATTAGCTGTGTGGGAAAGAGAAAAGAAAAAAGACCAAAGTGAGAACCCTCCCGAAACGTTCGGTGTTTGTTGTTCTGCTAGGCGAGATGATGATCTACTTTTTTTTTGAAAATGACACCGCCGTTTTGCCGCCACATATTTGCAAATCAGAATGAATCTATAGATACCAGTTTTTAAAAACACTATTCAAAAAGATGCGAAAAAATTACTTGTGAATACCAAACTGTAAAAACGATTTTTGAAGATGGTTCTAATCCATAAAAAAGCTTCTAAACCAATGCTTTACAGTTGGCAATAGTACACAGAATCCTTGAAAAATTATGAAAAGATTCGGAAGCTTCAGAGTTTCAATATTTTCTAGGAACAAAAAAAAAACAAGAAAAGTTCTCTCTTTGGACATCGCTTTCGTGAAAGAGTGATGCACAAAACATACTAATCTTTTAAACGTACAACGAAAAATATGTGTCAATAGAAACATTTTTTGTTAGTACTAGCATGGCAGCCGGAGCTTTTCCGTTGCCACGGCACAAAATTGTTTCTCTATTTTTCTTTTTTTTTGAAAGCAACGGGAAGAAGGAAACGACTGAGAAGGCATAAAAAGGGTATGAACAAAGTTTCAAATTGGATTGTAAATCAGACAGACGGGGAATATAATTCGGCAAAAATTAGGGGAAACGCGGCGCTGTTAATGTCAATCAGCGTTATCAGACTGATGTAAGAAATCGAAGAGGCGTCAGGAAGGGAACACTATGAAACTCTAACTATCTTAAACTCTTCTAACATTTTTTCAGAAAATTAAACTCACATTATACTCATCCCACTCGTAAGCCTGTGCAGCATCACTATGTTCTGGAGCTGTGTCGCTATCACGATTTCTGATTTGATCGTCAAGTTTTCTCAGAAGACGTCGAACTGGAGTGGATGGAGGTGAGACGCGAATCATTGGAGTCATCACTCCCTCTACTTTGCTAGGAACGACTCCTAATTGCTCTCCATCACTCATGCTACGTGGCATTCTACGAACTCGCAGCTTTCGACGCGCCAATGATCGAGCCTTGCAAGGTGGGAGCATCTCGGAACGGGTCGAACAGAACGATCCATCCATCTCCAGACTGTCGTAGAGGAATGAGGCATTCTTGAGTCCACGTGTTGATCTCTGGCGTTTCAGTGGAGATGAAGTTTCGAATGAAGCAGAGTTGAATGATCTGAAAGTAGAAAATTTTAAGAAAATCGACTTTAACGATTCCTCAATAGATTACAAGTATCACTTACACACTCATCATATCCGATTCATCTTCTAGATTTGTTTGGTTTTCCCCATCAGATGAGTCCTCAGATGAAGCGTCGCACGAGCTCTGTAATAAATCAAAAGACGGTTTACGATACGCTGATTTACAACTACCCCCACCTGCTGCTCAGCTATATCAGATAACATTTTAGTAACTAGGAAAAAGAGGATAATTGTTTGGCTGGCGAAAAAAAAAGAATTCTAATAGAGACTGATGGCATCAGAAACCCTTCCGTTTCCATTCATCATTCCGTCACACCAGTAGGTTGACAGTATAAAAAATTGATAGAATCTAGGTCTAACCTTGGCAATCAGATCCATTTGTTCTCGACTCGGACGAGACATACGTCTCAGTGGCTTCTTCTGTCCGTGAATTTCTCGCCATTTCGTGTTGAACGATTCAGTCATTGACATGTCCATTGGAAGATCGTCGTTATCCATCAGAGCCATAACTTCATCTGAAAAAAAGCGTTTTTATTTGGATTAGACAGATTACATTATGCTTACCGTATTCTGGAAGGTTTTGATTAGTGAAGAACGTGGAATCGTGATTGACATACATCGAATCAGACAAGTTTGGTTCTTCATCGATATCGTGGTTGATGGCTTTGGTGACTTCCAAATCGGACATATCCTCCAACTGAACAGTTCGATAGAATGCTTTGACTGGAGAGCATTCGATACGTTTTCGACGCATGTCACTGGTCTCAGGAAGTCTGCAAAAAATGTTTGGATTCAGTGGGAGCTTCTAGGAATGTGTATCAAGTTTCTTTATACAAAACAACTAGGAATTGATTACAGAAAGTTCGGAAGTGTAGTTTTTTTCAATGATCTTAGTTTTTGCTTTCAGGATAAACAAGACGTTGTGAGGTTATAAATGATAGTTTGACATCCGGAAAGGGCACAAGGGAGGTCCCAGAAGACAAGAATAGGCTTTTTCGACCCGACGTAACCCGAAACTAATAAATCTCAAAGTTGTCGGTTAGAGGGCACGGCGGACAAGCAAATCGACGTTTTGAAGAAACCGAGCGTTTGTTTGGCGGCACAAGCCAATGAGGAGATGAGTATGCGGGTGAGACATTCGGAAGTAGGATATCACGTATCACTCGCCCCTCGGAGCCCCACTCATCACTTTCAAGGTTGTGTCCGATAGGAGACGGAGGACATGTCCACCCTGGATGTCCACTGATTTATTTTGTTCGCGATACTGGACGTGTTTTGCGCGCGCGAAATATGGATGGTCATTTATCTTAAAAGGTGTTGGGAAACCATTTCAATTGGGTCGTTCGTTTTGGAGACAATGCAATGAAATTGGAAGACATTTCTTCTCATAAATTGTATCAAAATCAGCTAATAATTTATACTTACCGCATAAACTTGCTAAGCATCCTGTTAGTATAAAGTAATGTAACAAATGGCTGGAAGTGTCTGCCGGTCTGTCTTGACCCGCCCCTAATCGTAAAATTTACAAACACATGTTGCCGTCTTCTTCTAACAGATGCACAAATGCCTGCGGGTCAGGGCGTGATCTAGTTGAACTTGAAACATACAGTACTCCAGCAGTTTTACACAAAGTCTAGATCAAGGAATTAACGTTAACAGGGACTACAGAATTATGATTAGATTTATTTCATTAGATTTTGATTATTAGAAGGAATATTACAACTCTGTATTTGTCTTTTTCTCGAAACTTTTTAGATTGCCTCATTGTGACCTTATCACAGATGTCTTCCGTACCAGGCCCTTCAGATAAAATTTTGAAACTTTTGAGGTCACTTACAAATGGTCGGCACATGTGTTCAACGCTTCATGTATCGAATTCTCTCCACTTGAATAGCCAACGTCTTGTTGTACACTCTCCCATTTTTTTGGCTCAACCATCTGGTCTTCTGATGAAGAAGTGCACGAATCGACAGTTACTCTGAAAAATTATGAATTGATTTTGGGGGGAAGGGAACGGGACTGAATGAATGAAAATCTTGAGGGCTAGGATAGACACCCGAAAAGAAACACATTTATTTTCCGGAGAAGAACGGGAGAATCCCTAGCCGCGAAGCATCACCTGACTGTCACAAAGCTATTACCATTAAACGACTTTTGAATAACATAATGGGATGGAGAAGATGCGTTTCTAATTGCGCATCGAATATGGGGGTGCTTCTCGGGGACCTAGATTTGAAGGAGAGAAGAAAAGAATTAGCCAATGAAAAATAATTTTTGGGGAATCTTACCTTCCATCCATAATACTTTCGTATTCGCTCTCAGCAAATGGAAGCACGTTATCGTCGTCTGTGACCACTGTCTCTGTGTGACTATGTCGTTCTTCGTCTTCTGATTCTTCAGTGTCCGATGCTGTCAGATCTCCGGTTCGCGTACGAGCCCGCTTGATCGGTGGTCCGACAAGATCTGGATCGCTTTCCGAATCTTCTGATGCTTGCTGAAAATTAAAAACTAAATTATAAAAAAGATCATATAAAAGGATGGATCGTGAGAAGATGCGCGGAACACATGCATAGGTAATTTTACCTAGGCACTTGCCGAACAAACAGACTGAACGAACTGGCGAAGCCCATATGCGCAAATGTGTGTCACGATACTATTTGCGTGTCATAGATTCATGCAACTGTGCAAACTATATCTCAACCTAAAATGGACAGAAAAGGGAGAGGCTAATGTACTTTCACACTTTCACCGTTTACGGGGGATGTTCTGGGGGAGGTTCCATGTAATAATTGGGGCCGATTTGATGCTAAAGCATCAAGAATAATACCGTAAAATTTGTAATTGAATGGCAACCTAACTTTTAAACGAGCTAATTCATCTTGATTCCTATCAAAGATATGAAAAAGTTGTCTACTGATGAAATGTTTATCAATTGACACATTCTTGTTATTTTGCATAGGAGCCTAGATAATTTAGCTCAAACTTGACAGTCTGGAGGCCCAAGGTTTTACAGTATACTGATATTTTTCAGAAATGAGAAAGTTAAAACAAAAGAAATCAAGCAGCAGGAAAACTAGAAACTGAGTTTACTATTTGAATGCATGTATTATACTTGATACGCGTGTCTTTTCTTGTTGTAGTAAGCTGAAGACTATGCAAAAAAAAACGATAGTTAATACCAGGCGCAAACAACGAAACATTTTTTTGAGAGGAGAAAATGACGGCGGCAAAGGTTAAGAAGTTTTGGATGGGTAATGGTAAAAATAAAATAGTCGGGACAATGTGAATGCGTTTTTCTCAACGCCAAAAATAGGATGCGGTTGTTGGTGTGACAGGAATATGACAGAGAGCCTTGTTTGGACCAAAAGCGCCGCAAATGAATCAGCACCAAACATCGAGGCACTGTTCTGTTTGGTGGAGCACAATACCGATTATTGAAAAAAAAAGAGAGACCAAGAGGGAACGGAACTAGAAGGTCGCGGTGTAGAATAGGAACATCTAAAGGAACATGAAACTCTTTCCGAACTCTCAACTAAATGAAAAAGTTCTTCTTCCAATTCATCCACTTTCACAATTGAAATTGGAAACTCTGCGGAAGAGGAACGTGTGAAGTAAAGGGAAAGAATCGGCATGCAAACACTTTTCCAAGCACTCTTACACTCGGTTACACAACCGCCGTTTCTCAGGACCACCACCAGCGCTACCACCACCATCAAGCCTAATTACATCAGAAGAAATGATAAAATGATTCGGGAGAAGAAATCTGGCAGATGAGGCTTGTTCCGCAAGATTTATTGCTATTTGATTGGTGGGATGTGGGGAAGATTAAATGGACTACTACTAAACTATTCGTTTCGACCATTGAGACTTCTCACTAATTAGCAATTCTGTATAATATGGGGTGTACCAATTATTATGACAGTCAGAATGAACGTATTGGCGGCAAGTGTTCTAATATCCCAAGAACCGCCAAAAGACACACGGATGCCCATTTCGGGTAAACAAACGAAATGAGTCGAAATGGACAAACTCATGGGGTTCATTTGGGCGCGATTAATTCATATCTAGACGCCTGATTCTTTTCCCCAATTGAGCAGAAGGAGAGAGTATGTGTCCTAAACCTATAATTAATATTGGTTAACCATTTACAGGTGCAATATGCATTTTCATAAACAATGCAGAATTATTCTATGGAAAGAAGAAAAAGCTGAGGAAGGTCTCATCTCAGAGAAAGAAGTATATATAATAATGAGTGACAAAAAGTGCGAATAATAACGAGATGACTGGCAGCCCTCGTGGAGGTGAGGAAGAAGAAGAAGGCACCGGGCAGGAAAAGAATCACAGCTGTTGGTGGCACCGAATTCATATGTCAAATATGATATTGAAATATAGGATGAGAAAAGAAAAGGTCTTACAACCTCCCAACGTATCAATTTTCAAATCTATGTCAATCTTAATTTGAGTTATTTAAAGTTAAAATGTTAAAATCATAAAAATTAAAATTATAAAAATCGAAATAATACAGGAAACTTCAGGAATTTTCATTCAAAAAATTCCAATGTTTAGATTTAGCAAATTCCCAAAAATAGAAAAACGAAGAAAACATATTTTCAATTTTTTTTTGCAGAATTTACAAAATCTAACTTTTTCCGATTTTTTCTAGTTTCTATACGTTTCAACCAAAAATTTAGAAGTGTAATTGTTCTGAAAAATCTATTTTAAACTAGAAACTTATTAAAAGCTACACCATACAGTTGACTAAATCTATTGAGTCTTTTGCCAACTAGGTGCCAACTAAAACAAGTATAACCACCTACTATGAAACGGTTACTACTACTGTCCGAAAAAATGGAAATCTAGTGAAAAAAATGACTTGATTTGCATAATTCAGTCAGTGAAACTGTTGAATGACTGACACACAAAGCCATTCCTAGGTCTAGAAACGAAAAACGCCGTTTTCCGTGAACAACGAAAGAAGGAGAAGAAAAATAACTGTTTCACTTTCAAAAGAAGTATATAGTCGAAATGGGTTTCATGGATCGACCGGCAATCAATTCTCGACTTTTTTTTTCTCTTGATTCTCACATGGACACACAAAAGCACTCTTGTTGTACGATTCAAGAAATGGATCTGTTTTCTTTTCTGTGTCGTAGAACAAACGACGTTGTTTTCTATTTATCACTACATATCACCCTCTGTTTACAAACAATAATGAGAAAAATAAGAAAAAAGCTTGCTAAGGTGCTGCAGGAAGTACTCAATCTGTTACACTTTTAGGGAAAAAAATAGGGAATCCATTTGAGAAAATATGGGGAAAATAAGGGAGAAGGGCGGTTCTTACTAGGGAAACGCCTCAAATTAATTGGTCAACCCGTTCTATACTATAAGGCCAATTAGTTTTTTTTTCCTGAGAATGAGTATAAAATTTATTGGGGTAATGCAGATTCAAAATGAAAATTCGAACTGGTTCAGCATCTTGCTTTTACTCACCTGATGGTTGATAAGCTCTTCAATTCGACAAACCAGTGACAAACTGTTCAGATATATCGTATGCCACCGTTTTCGAATTGCATCGACGCACGTCTTTCGTCTTTCCTCTTCTATCGAGTCCGTATCGTGATCGTCTCTGAAATCACCGGAATTCATTTTTAGATCCAATAAATCGGATATCTTACTTGAGTTGTCTATTAAGTCGATTCACCAGTAGTTGACCTTCGTGTTGAATTTCAAGTTGGAGAGCCTGGAAAACGATTCTAACTACATGTTTTTCCTCACTAATTAGATTAAGACACAACTGTCCAAAAAAAACCATTGATCGATTCTCATGTAAAACATTGGAAACTCTACGAGAGAGAAAGAGGGTACCACCGGAAGACCCTTTATAATTGGCCACCCAAAAAGACATTTCGCGCAAATTTCAAGGTAAAAGTTGTCGAAGCGAACATCCAATTGGTTTGAAATATGTGGGGAATGTGAAAGAAAATTGGGAGATGAAATTGGCGTAAAATGAGGTGACTAGGTAAAAAAAGACAAGATATTTTAGAAGGACAGTTTAGACCTGACTAAATACCGTACACTATAATAGAAGGTCATTCAAGACACTAACTTTGAGCAACTTTATCTTGGTTCCTTTACAAGATATGAAAAAGTAGTTAACTGACAAAACTTTTACCACAATATCAAAAAGTTTTTATTAGTTAATCACTTTTTGATATCTTTTACAGAAAACGAGACATATGGGCTCAAAGTTGGCGGCTCGGGTGGCCTTCTATTAGAATGTTTACAGTAGTTTTTTGAAGTTGAAGATGTAAAAAAATCAGATCAAAAACTCGAAATCGATGAAATAGAAAATCTCTTTGTTTTCAGTTATTTTGGGGGTGTTCTCTCTATTTTAAACAACACAATCAAATAGGTAATTCTCTCACTTTCACTTGATGACATGGTGTAGATCGAACGAAACATGACAATAAATTCGAAACATTAAAACGAGTGTTCTTTTACAACTGAAACAGTCTTCTAACTCTTATCGTTCTTCTCACATTCGATAAGAATTCAGTTTAGCAGGAAGGTGGAAATGAAATGAGTTGAACAATTAGAAGATAGAGAAAAAGTGCATTCGGTGACAACTATAGAGAAAAGAGGAGACGAAAGAGAACGATGACGCCAAAAAAGTGATTTGAATTTGATTTCATCAGAACTTCTGATTCAGAACTTCAAAAAGTTTGATTTCTTTTTTTCGAATTCTGAGATCCATTGGATAATGAAGATATAAAGAACCAGATGGAAGTTGTAAAAATTGGAGAAGACGTGAGGTGAAAGAAACGAGCAGTAAAATCTCAACAGGATCGGTCAGAACCGGGTAGTAGACTTTCGAATCACCAAGAATCGGAAAAGAAAAAGGAAACGAAACTCAAGTGGTTATGCCAATTGAACGGTTTTTTGCGCATCACTTCTTTTCTTTTGAAGTGTGCTGTTCGAGCCTATGACTACCGGATGATTTTTACAAATATTCAGGGACCTAGAAGATTTCTGAAACTTCTCCAGATTTGTACATGATAGATTATTGTGGATTAGTAGAATATCCGACTCAAGACAGATAGAAGAAAAGAAATAGTAATAAAAATATTGCGGAAAAGAAAACGGAACGGAGAAGAAGTAACCAATGAGTAGAATAGAAATATAAACGTTCGTTTCGAACACAAAGAAATGATCGAGGTGATGGCGGACACTAAAAAGTGCGAAACTGCGAATTGTGGTCGCTCGGTGAGGAGTCGAAAAATGTGAGGTAAGGGATGGATGACATATCGAATACAAATAGAACTGCGGATGCGGAAAATAAATCATAACTGCGAAATCGGGAAGCCAACTGCTGGATACAGTTGAAAGATAAATTCAAGATTATTTATAAAACTCTTCTTGACACCATTGAAATAAAGTTTCACGTTTTTCAAATACCGTATTTTCTCTGATAGAAGTTCACCCTATACTTGCATCTTGAGCTCAGTTATCTGAGTTCCTTTAAAAGATATCAAAAATGTATCAACTGATAGTTGGCGATATTATGAGAAAAATTTTCTTAATTTACTATTTTTCGATATTTTGAATAGGAACTGAGATAATTCAGCTCAAAGTGCACGTTTAGAGTGGGCTTCTATTGGAGAAAGAACGGTACCAACGGCTAGTTGTAGAAGCATAATTTGACCAACAGGGGTTACTATAAAATATTACTAGCTCTGCCACTCTCGCTATAAAAATTAAAAGTTCTGAGCAAAGGCGAAAACAAGACAATTTGTAACAAAAGAAGATGATGTGAGAGGGAGGGCGGTAGATTATATAATTCCAAAAATAAACAGTGTGCGCATCTTCTTGTAATACGGAAGGAGAGATGGGAGACGAGTGAAGAAATAATACGATCTGCGGCATTATTGCCGTTGTCATTCGCAGGATGAATTACATAACAATCCGGACGACAAGTCTCGGGAAAGAACGATGAAGAAACAATTGAAAAAATTGGTGGAGGAAATAATAGAGACATAGTTTTTATTCGGGTGCACAGAGCAATGCTCGTTCGAGGAGAAAAGTGGGAAGCGGAAAGACTTGACTTCCTTTTGTTTTTTATTTGGGATCTTGAGGTCCAGGAAAGGAGATGAAAAATTCTAGTTGTGGTTTCTGGCTTTTTAGGAACCAGATCGAGAAAAGGAATTAATAGGAACCTATGAACGACTCTTATGTGTTTTCTAGGTTTTTAGTTTTCATGATTCAATGAAGTTTTTTGAATCGATCTAATTCTGTCAAAACAATGTGAACAACTTCCTTCTAAAAACATTAAACTCTACAATAAAACTTGGCAATTCTTTTGACTGATGAAGACAGATGAGGGGGTTTTCTTCTCCGTGTCACTGCACAGTACAACCTTTTGTATATACAAGAAGAAAAGCACGGAATTAATAGAGAGTGCAGAGTTGTCAATCTTCAAGAGTATTTGATTGATATATAAACATTATTGTATCGGGACGAGGATATCTACAAGAGGAGATAATATGCGCGGAAGAAGAAGACTGTACTGAAAGGCAAGTACGTGGAAATGTGATATTCACGGACGAAGAAAAACCGGAGACAAAATTACCGGAGGAGGATTGAGGATGATGAAAGAGTGCGTGGTTTTCGGTTGAATGAGAAGACGAAGAAAAAGTGTTAATTGTTGTTCAGGGGTATAGTAAAATGAGCGGAGAGAAGGCCGAGAGGCAACAAACAAGACAAAAGTGCGTGGAATGGCTGAGCGACACGCAACGGACCCTTTCAATCTGCACCTGGCCGCCGCCGCGTCCTTCTTTTTGGGAATACGAGAGGAGCGGTCGGTTGGGAAGAAGAAAAAAGAATGTAGAAGAAGAATGTTCTCAAGGATGTCAAATGGACTTGGGACCGCCCGTCTCATGTCGGCAATCCGTCATCTGAAAATGCACGGCGACATGGAAAAGAAGGAAAAAGAGCAACTGGTCACTCTTGATGCAAAATTGATGGATATATGGAGAGAAGGAAAAAAGACAAGAAAAAGAATTGACAATGAGAATTTCGTGGTGGACGTTGAAAATAATTCAACGACTACTGGAAAAAGTTCTAAAAGAGAAGTGAGGAAAGAACAATGGAAGAGCAACAAGTTGAAGGAAAAGTTTCGAGGAGTGAGATATAAAAAATTCAACGATGGCCACTACAACATGAGGAAATAGAGAGAAGAATATGAACTTTGGCTTGTGGAACAATAAATTTTTGACCATTTTGTTTACCAAATACGTCTCGAAAGTATTTAATCCGTCAATGTAAAAGTTTTTAAGTATGAGTACAGTTGAGAAAACCAATAGTAAGTTGAGTAACCGTATTCCAACTTTAGGTGCTAACATTGAGCTCAATTATCTCGATTCCTATGAGAGATATAAAAAGTTTGTCAACTGATAAAATATTGGTAATATTTTGATACATAATTTATCAGTTGACAAATTTTTGTTATCTTTCACAGACATCGAGATAATTTAAGCTCAAAGTTGGCAGTTTCGGTGGGAAATACGGTATACTTCCTCTGAAATAATTATAGTCTATGACAAATATAATCTTCTAGAAACGATAAAATCAAAATCTGGATGTGGGAAATACTTTCGCTTTTTCGAATTTAAAGCTCGAATAAAATTCAAAAACCAACTTTTACATATTCCAGAAATCTGAAGGATTTTGCAGACATTCGTTTCAGGGAGGCTTGATCTCATCAAGGGGTTTTCTTTCTTTTTGAGAATCTATCAATGTTTTTTTCCGCTACAGGCCCTTTAACCATAAACCAACTAACCTGTTGATCAGAGAGCAACACTGTCAAATTTGGCTCAACTCGAATCCGTTTCTCATTAATTTCGAGTCTTCTTTCGACCTCGTGCAACCATGATCGCATTTCGCCCGTCGATGATGACGTAGAACTGCGTGCTGAGCCTGTAATCATTGAATTCAGGATCTTGAAAAAAAAATGCCGGAAGTATGTAGAATTCAAAAAAATTGGTGATTTGCGGCATTTCCGATAAGAACACGAACGGGCAAAAAAGTGGCCGTTGCACGGACACCTGGCTTAACAAAGGTGTGTCTGCACAGGTTTGATTGTAAGAGATGGATAAAAAACGAGGATAGAAGAAGACTCACTGGATGTGTCAGAATCTGCACCACTCATTAGTTTTGCGTGATTCTGAACACGCAGTTGTTCCATGGCACAGCATATTGTGTTGAGTCGAAGAAGAACCTGAAAGTTGTGGAGATGAATGGGTTGTACTTAATTATAATAGATTTTTTTATTTCATTCGCTCTTTTGAAAAGACTATTTCATAACTACAATTTAAGAAAACACATTGTTGTTCAAGTAACTCACCGAATTCTCGGCCTCCGGCCGTTCAGCCAGAATTTTCTTTGCCGATTTTTCAAGTGAAGTTGTCATTTCGTCGAGACATTCACATGATATTGCCTGAAAAAAGTGGAGAAATTAAAAGTAGAAAAAAGAGAGAAAATGTTGCAAATCAAGTGTGTTACGGATTAGGAATTAAAAAGAAATCGAATCACACAAATCGGGTGGAAGGTGAGATTTCAATTCATACGACTCATTCAACTATGGAGAATCGTTTTCGATTTGGAAGAAGCCTAAGGAAGATGACGACAAATAAGAGGAAGAATAAGAAGTGGAGAAAAAGAAGCGGCATGAATACAAAAAGAAGAGTTCAAACGACGTTCCTAAAATGCTCAAGTGGGCCCTTTCCACTTCTTTTGTGCTCCTAATTAATCCTCCAACATTTGAAGGCGTTGGGGGCTCATCTTGGGAATCCTTGCCCCAATTTCCCACAAACAATAAAATGCATCATAATACCTAATGAGCTTTCTCATCTATTCTTTTCATTATGGTTTATCGTCTGTCTCGATCTCCAGAAAAGGAGGAACGAGGAAGACGTCAGAAAAGTAGAAGACGAATATAATCTCGATGATAAATGAATACGTTCTCGCATCTGAAGACACGGCATCCCCGTAATTCCCGATGATGGCTATCAGTGGCTCGATTTGTTTCTCTTTTCTAATAGGTGACAAGCATGCATCAAGATCAACCCAAATTGCTAATTCGATTAGTACAAAAAACTGTGAAATCTATCTTTTTTTTTTGATTGAGTGACACTTTCAAATCAAAAATCATGGAGGTTGACATAAAAAATTTGACGGTCTGGGCATCCTTCAGAAAATCGGAGAACTTATGTTTGATAGTAATAATTGGATTTCAAAATCAGGTAAGTATTAACTTTTGTAAAAACCGTTTTTCTGCGCTTAAAAAAAATTCAAAGCGAGTTATCAGGACGGAAAACATCCTAAATACAAAAAAAACTACAAACCAGGTCATACTAAAGCAACAGTCGCCCAAATGATGTAGTATAACAATGTGAGGAGGTCGATGCACCAAATGGTGGCCAATATTGCGTAATGCCATACACTGCCGAAGAAGAAGGTCCTACTGGCAAGATAGGCGTATAAATAAAACGATCCGGGTCAAATATTCTCAACTTCTACATCCAGATCCGTTCAAAAACCCGAAAAGGAATATGCCCAGTTTGTTTGACGATTTCTTCTCGATTCTAATCACATTATACATGTGCCGATTGGCATACACAAATCGAGAAGAAAAGAAAATGTTGGGACGGCTGTCGGATTTGGATTTGTGGCTTTAGAAGTTATGTTTATTTATTATATGGGTATACAATCTAATCTGTACTAGGCCATAACTCTTCTTGTTAGTTATCCAAAAAACTACCTCTGATACATTAAACCAGGAACAAAAAGGAAACAATGTAGTGGAAATACCAAAAAGTATGCACATGTGTTGTCTGTGAGAGAAAAGGGGCTATTAACCCCTTCAGACCGGTGCAATTTCCGCGCAGGACACCATCGGGTGGTCGCCCGTCATTTGTGTTTGTATGTGTGCTCCAGATGTGCAGAATCTCATCATACCACGATAAAAATGCATTCTTTGTAGTGCTGTGATGAGAGTAGCTGTCCAAATTAATGAAGAAATGAGATGGGATCAAAAAGAAAAGGTCCAATTTAAAATTAAAGATTGAAAGACCGAAATCTTGAATTTCAGCTGTAATATTAATTGAATTTTGGCTGTAAGAATTACTGAACTTCAACTATGCGAATTATTGAATTTCAGCTATTAGAACCTTTCTGTTTATTGCCGGAAAAGCTAGAAAGTCCTAACGCGAAGACAGCACGCTTACAATGGAGGTCATTCCAAAACAAACACTATTTGCCTAAACTGATAACAGAGAGTATCATTTGAGTCAATTATAGAACCATTCAGCCAACCTAAAATGGGAACGAAGGAATAAATGAGTCTTAGCAAAACTTGGAATATGTACGAAGAGTACAGGGAAAAAGGCACGGAAGAATGAGTCAGGAAACAATACAATTGATACACATATTGTCAACTCGATGTCCAACAGACCAACGGACTGCGTATCGTCTCGTTTTGCTAATGAATACCTAATGTGACATGTTAGTGACAAAGAAATCCAAAAAGTCCACAGCAGCCACCTCTGGCAGAATTGAAGGAATGGGATAGAAGAATCAAAGAAGAGAATTCAGGGGAAGATGAATGGCGGTGAGTGGTTCGATTTAACCGTTGATAAAGATTACTCAGCTCATTATTTTTGTTACACACTTTTTGGAAACCTCCGACCAAAACTCATTAATTTAGATTAGGAGAGAAGCGCGATGATATTGGTGACAGGTTTTGGGATGGATTCTTCTAATGAATATCAGAGGATGAAATCAATGTGCAACAACATCACAGATGGAGAGAAATAAAAGTGAGCATGTGTTGGAACGTTAAATACGAGATTTGAGACAGAACACGAAAACGTAATGTCATAAAATACCGACAGAGTAAGCTCTGAAAAGATCCTAGGTAAAACAATTCCTTGTTTTTGCCAAAAAGAAGAGTACAGTGGAGTGGATGGGTAAGGGAGATCGAGTGCGTGAAGTGTACTGCTCCTGTCGCTAAGCATGCTCTCGCGAAAGGAGTGGTATAACTAACAATCCGCAAACATGGGAAGACACTGTCTCTCTGTTACTCATCTTCTTCTTGTTCACGCGTGTATGATCGAACATGTTGTTGTGTAATACAGAAGGAATTTCGGAAGCTTGGATAGAGCACGGTTCAATGTCTGAGCACTGAGCATCAATGACCAGACAGCTCTGGAATGCAAATTTACCATATTTATCAAGTTTCGGGTCAGAACCGGGTCGAAAAAAATTCTCGAGGCCCGACCTGGCCGGTCGGAACGGGTAGCCGATTTCTTGAAAATTTCAAAAAAATTCAATTTGAAATTTCAGAATCTGACCCGAGCCGCCAGGGCCGCGCCGGTCAATTGTTGATTTTGACCTGGCCCGGCTTGACAAGTTTGAAATTTACCAAATCCGAATTGGAATAAAAGAAACCAACCGGTCTACACATTTGAAACAAAACAAATGATCTGCTCAATCTGTTCAGCCTCTGCTCGGGATTATGTTACACTTTAAGATGGGAGACTGCGTTCGAATATGGAAGCAGAATAGACCAACTCTAACAAACACTGACCAATCATAAAATAACGTCCACTGGGAATATTCTGTGGACAGCTACGATTCTTGCTCAACTTTTTTTTGAAAAGAAGTCGAAATGTCATTCAATCAGCTATATTTATATAAAGTCATTCAAACCCCCAGAATACCAAAAGCTGAAATTATTGACCCTCTCCGAACCAGAATGAAACTATTCTAGAACTCCTCCATCCCTCAGAAGTGTAAAATTTCCCTAAACTTTGTGAATTCCTAACAATAACTGATGGTAAGTCTTCTTCTTCTTTTCCAAAAGATCTCCAATTTCAAATGGAACGGCAGGAAGATCGCGCCCCCACGCCGGGGTGGGTCACTTTCTGTGTTATTTGATATTTTGGAATAATAATAGTTTAGTGAGGCTAATTGAATTGAACTGCGGGTCAAAAGTGAGCCGCTAGTTGATGGCTGACGAAGAAAAACAAACGCAAATCATCGTCTGGGAGGATCTTCCCTGGATTGCACAACCCTCACAACCAACTACATTTGATTAATGGGTGACCTTCGAAACTCACGGCAATTGCCACAAAAATTGAGTCGAGTAGTCGTTAGAGATTGGGTGAGAGTACGAGACACAGGAAAAAAGTAGCAGTGGTCATCTATTATCTCATTTGAAAAAAGAGCAGTGAAACTCTATCAATAGAATGAATGATAGGTGATTGGATTCGTGATTTATTGAAAATTCGAAAAAGTGAGACGAATCTCTCTGCAAATGTTTATAAACCCTTCAGTCTGCAGGTTTAGGAAATAATGGCAAGCGTGTTTTGAGCTTGTCAATGTTTTCTGTTATCCGTCTCTTGTCGAAGCTTGCCGTAATATTTTCGTACCAATATCTTGTAATTGACAGGCAACTAAACGTTTCTCTTTTTGATAATTGATGACCCCTAAACATTTCTCCACCAACGAACAACTGACTTCAATGAGTTCTAAGCTATTGGAAAACCAAGGAAAGTTAACCAAAGCTGGGAAGAAAGAAAATAGAAGGAAACTGGGAAAAAAAAAAGAGAGCCCACTGGCCGCCTGGGTGTCGACCTAATTTCCCTTGGTGTCGTTTTCAAATCCATGGCAACCAAGAAACTTGAGAGGGATAACAAATGAACAAATAAAATACTTACTTTTGAGGTGAGATTGTGCAACGAATCGAGGATTAAATTGTAGAGAGAGGAGCAGTTTTCCAGAAAAATGTCCACTTCTTCTCCCGACGATTCGATGACCTGAAAGGAGAAAAATGATTATGGGTGGCAATGAAAGATGAACAGCTGGATTCAGATGGAAACAAAAATGGAAGAGTGTCATGACACGGAATGCAGGTGTTGAAGAATTAAACACAGCTGTATGTTTTTTTTTGGAAATTCTGGAGTAGGTTTTATGTGGGATGCACTTTTGAAGTTGAGTAAAAATTGGTTTTACTTTTATTGATTTTCTAAAAGACTGCCAAAAATTGATTCTACGGCTTCAGGAAATTACAAATTATGAATTTTATTCTAAAAATTGAAAAAGATATACTCAAACTAGTTTATTTCTGACCCTCAGGCGGACCTGACAACAAATAAACTACCACCCAAAAACCTTTTTCAGTGAGACTGTAAAATCGGTAATTTCAACTCAATTTACGATTTCTCGATCTTGCGGACGGCGCAGTTAGCCATAAAAAGAAGAATCAGTGAAAGAAGACGTTAATCGATTCCGATTACTTTCAAGGTAAAATGAACTTTGTTTTTTTTTCAGGAAAAGAGTATAATAGAGTCATTTGGGGTCACATGTATTAGAGGAAGTGTTCTTCATTTTCTTGCACTCGAACGACAAGTTTTGCAAGTTGCTCTTCACTGCCGAGATGCGCACCTCGGGAAACACTTATGGTATTGGGCACTCTTGGAGTCAATTCTTCTTCTCTTACTCACAGCTTTTGCCAAATAAGGAGTAGTAGTTTCGCACGGGTGAATGTGAGAATAGGAGACAAGAAGAGATTGACAGTCAATGAATGGGTCCGTATTGTTAGAAAAGACAAAAAAGAGGAAGGTGTCAGTCAGCAAATATTGAGTTGGCTCGGATTCAGAAAAGGAATAGTTACCGCAAAACATGATGGAAAAACAACAATACTGTATATGGTGTTTGTAGATTTCGCATGATTATCCAAAAGCTTGAAAAATGATTTTAAATTTGAATCGAAAGATGAGGTGCCTAACCGTCAACTTTGAGCTCATTTATCTCAGTTCCCGGAGATGATATCAAATGTTTGTCAACTGATAAATTATGTCTCATAATATCCCCAGTGATTTATCAGTTGACAACTTTTAAAAATCTTTCACAAGAACTGAGATACACTCAAAGGCTCAAAGTTGACGGTTTAAGTGGCCCTTCATTAAAGTGCATACGGTATTTTGCCTCTGGACGTTTGTCTAAAATCCAATTTTTCACCGACCCCTTCTTTTTCCCATTTCCATCTCGATTACTGAATTTCCACTATATTATTCTTTCTCGTAAACAGTTTCACAGTTTTACACTTTCTCCCCCTTCTCTTCTTCTCTATTCTTCCTCATTTTTCTCGTTTTAACCACAGTTTCCAATCTAATTTGCGTTAAGAAAGGATCGTCTTCAGTCAGATCAAAACATTCGATAAGAGAATGAAACGACGCGGAATTTGAATGTGCGACACAAACTCCTCACTAGTCAGTTATAAATCTTTGAAGCACCCGGCGACAAGGTCGACGGTTCGAAAGAGGGAGAAGAGGAGAAGAAAAAACAAATCGGGGATGGTGGAGAGACGATAAAAAAAGTTGGAACGATGCCAACAGAAACTTTCATGCGTTCCAAAGGGATGGAATTTCGGATTTTATGCTCGAAGATTGAAAATTCGGCATCTCGCTTTTGACAGCTTTTTGCAAACAACTGAGCGCGAGAAAATGCTCAAGCATTTTTGCCCTTTCGAAAATCAAATATTTTGATTTTGGGATTTAAAAAAATTTTAAATAAAGAGTAAGTACTCACCTTGAAAAAGTCGTCATCGTTCGACTCCGGCACCTCGACCTCCGAGAATGAGTCCATTACATCCATTCGTAACCTGTTTTCGGGTTACTGTGGAAAAAAAAGAAAATCAGAGAAGTTTGTATCCAGTCGTGGGATACTGTAGTTGGTGGGGGTTGGCGATCAATTACGCATCTGCGCAATATGATCACGGATGAGAAACGGATCTGGAAAAAAATGTGTATACGTTGAATTGTTTAGGAAATTATTTGAAGACATAAATCTGCCAGACATGGCTGAAAATGGAAAATGTACGAATACACAAATTTTAGATTAAAAATATGAAGTATCTCGCAAAATAAACAACAATTTAAAGTCAGCTGATTTGATGAAAAAGAAATTTATGTTGACCAACGAAGTTATCGGAATTCGTGAAACCAGTGAGGGGAAAAAAGAAAGTTGGGTTCCAAAAAAATCCGGAAACCAAGAAAATTGGGATAAAGAGAAGCTAAAAAAATTTCAATAGGGTGGGAATGGCCTCCCATTCCAGAAAAATGTTCAAAATCAAAAGATAAACATAGAGAGTGTGAGATGATGGTCGAAATCTTGCCCCCCGCAGAAGAAGCAATCTTTCCGCCTTAATAAACAATAATACCGATGAGAGATTTTCAAAATGTAGGAGAAGAGAGAAGAGAGACTGAGGAGCCAATTGAGAAAACAAGAAAAAGCCCCGTTGATGATGATGGATTATCCATGTCATTCACACAGTTTTCTTTTCGTTTCGACACCTGATAAAATAATAAATGAAAATGAGGAAAATGAGAAGACAATTATGATGGAGAGACGTTTTTATGAATAATGAGCAGAGAGAAAAGATGATATGGAAAGGTGTGAAGAATTCGATAAATCGAATGTTGGCAAAATAAAATATGGACGGCCGCATCCAAGGGTACATCGAAAAAGATACATCAAGTTCTTAGGGTTCCAAGGGTACATGCATTTTTGTGGTACATGTCGTAGGACGAAAAATTTAAAAAAAACTATTTTAACAGACTATCTCGCTTTTTGTTCAAATTTTTAGAATTTGGTTAAAACTCCATACATACCAGGATCCCATGTACACTCTGAACCAGTGTATCCTACGAACTCGATGTGGAAAAATCGAATGTGGACCAACAGCTATATTATATTTCGAAATATCAAAAAAAGTAGTTCTATTGAAGAAAAAACGATTCTAGAATCGAACAAAAAGGTTGCGAATGACCGGACGAATGTCGAACAGCAACACATGGCTCTCCAGTCAATCCGTTGAATTTATTGGTTTTCTTGCAACAGGAAACGAACAATAAATGTGAATGTGAACACGGTGGAAACGATGGGATAATATACCGATTTAATGGAGTTGGACGTGCGGGAAAAGCTTGGAGAAGAGTGTTCATCTATCACTAAAGTGCTAGGTGTTGTGATATTGAAGAAAGACACATTTTAGTGATGAAAGTGTTACTTATTGGAATAAACAACGAATCGGAAGTGTCTAAAGTCTGAAGAGATTTAACCCAAAAAAAGAATTGTGGGTTACAGAAATTTGATTTTCAGACCTCAAAATGCGGAAACTGTTCTCAAAATGCAGTTCAAGATAGAAGAATTGCCAAATTGATAGTTTCTGTCGAGAGTGGTGCTGATTTTACTATCTCGTGTCGAAATGCTCCGAGTGTAATAAAAAGAAAAACCCACCGTTTTTATTTGATAATGCAACAAAACGGTCGTCGCTCAAAAAGGTGCTTCTAAATGACTCATCTGATTTTTTGAGATCAAAACAAAACTTGTGGTTGTGTAGTTGTGGTATGTTCCAAAAGTTGTAAACAGTTGGAGAGTTAAAAAAAGACAAAAGCGGTCAACACAAAGCCCGGCAAAACGGAGAAGAAAAGAAAATAAGAGAAGGAACGTAGAAGAACAGTGATAATTTGTATGTAGAGACGCAGAGTTAACAATTGAAAAAAAAGTCAAACAGTTTGGGTGTTGACGACGTGGGAACCATCTTGAGGAGACCCACATCTTAATTATTTTTTCAGTTGGCGAGACACTTTGTAAAGTGATGGTGAGAGAGAAAACATATGGGAGAGAGAAGAGACTGCAACATTATTGGCTGGGTGCCAAGTATTTCAAATGGGTGATCATGTGAATGAGTACGACCGACGGTTCAAGATTCGAAGGGCAGATGGTTGAAAAATAGCATTATGATTCGGAATAAGATGGATAGGAAGGTTGAATAATTTGAACGAAAGATAGAATAATTATGAAATAGAACATAAAAGGGTCTGGGCAAAGAATACAGTTTCTGAAATGGATTTCAGGTTCAGAAACCTTCAAAGCGAGCCATGGGGTGTCCTAGTACTTTGAGGAACTCAGAACTTATGTCAAAACATTTCAGATACTGTATTCAACAATACAAGAATCACGTTCAGAATACGTTCTGACTTCAATGAATGCTTAACATTTTCTAGAAAACTATAATAATGCTGCTAACATAGAGTAAAATTCTCTTCCAGAAATCATCAACTCCATACGCTTCATTTCCAACGGATAAAGGACGTCTTCATGATGTCCGTAGGGACGATGGCGGTAATACAGATGATTCAGAATCAAATAACAAACCAACGCTTCCTATACTTTCTCTCTCCCTTCAGCTTCTTTTTTTTCGTTTTGTATCGTGTCCTGGGGGAAATGAATTAGAGAGGAGAGAAAGGATTACATTTCCGACATTGATACGAAATTACCATCATAATCGAATCGACATTTGAATGGGTGGTCAACATGTGGAATCTTTTTGAGTGAACACATTCCAATGAAAACTCGATCACTACAGGCGCAGGATTTATAGCTCAACTCTCTTTTTTCTCGATCTAAACCCATTTTGATGGGTGACTGTATATCAGTTTTTCGAAAAAGTACCGGGTGGTCGGAGGACATCGCGGAAATACATAAAACCTGCGACTTGATTGCAGCAATCACGAGATCATAAAACGGACCCGTTTATGGTACTTTTTATAATGTGCTGAGTTGTGACTTTTTCGGTTTTTGCTAAGCATCAAAAACCGCTTTTTCTAAAATTGGATTATTTCAAGTTATGATTGCTGAATCAATCAATACAGTTGGAACCAGGCGAAGAAGAAAAACAACTGGAATTGAGAAAAAGAAGAAGAAGCATGAGACAACGGGAACAAGTTGTAGGCAGAGGACGTCCTCACTCACTATTTTTATCGTTTCTCGAAGCCATTAGAACAGACAAAATGCCTGCTGTAATTAGCGGATTGTTCAATTAGGAAAGAGGAAAAGTGGAAAATTCCATCGCCAAAAAATACAAATTATAGGAGAGAGTAAAGGACTCAGAAGGCTCGTCTGTTCGTCATGATAGACTCACGCACATGCGCGACAAATGCGCAATTTTCGTGTTAAACCTTACGCAAACGGTAGCGATTCTTTGGATTGGAAATGTGAGTGAGGAGGTCTTTCCCGCGAAGAGTGAAGAAAAGTGTATTGTTTTTCCAACGACTTTTGAGCATGAGCAATGATGAATATGTAAAGGATAGTACTGTCCAAGAAAACTGGTTGAAAATTCCGTAATGCTCTAATGGAAGCCCATGCTATGTGTGCACTTTGAGCTGTATTACCTTTATTCGTATGCAAGATATCAAAAATGTGTCAACTGATAAAATATTGGTGATGTTATGATGAATATTTTGTCAGTTGAGTACTTTTTGATATACTTTACAGAAATCGAGATATAAGGAGTAAAAGTTGACGGTGTGGGTGACTCTCTATCAGAGTGTTCAAGGTAATCATGGAAAATTTTGGGTTAGGAAAAATAATTGATTTGGGATCGATTAGAGAAGGCTCATGGGCTCATAGTAAGAACTAAAACCAATGGCTTTTGGAAAATACAAAGGTCTAAAAGTTTTTTGGGTTGCAAGATCAAAGTAAAACAATTAACCGATGTTTCCGATCTTTGCAAATTTAGGTACAGCTAGAGAAAAAGTAAGCAAACTGAAATCGATGCAACCTAAATAACACTTGTAGCAAAAATTTCTCTTATCCTCCACACCCACGTCCCTTCCTTTTTTTTGAAAAAAACAAACAAAAGTGCAAATCACGGATGGCGCGGCAATCCGCCGGATTGTATAGAGACGGATCCCAAACGCATGTCTCTCGGTTTCCATCAAATCGCATGAGATCCTAAGAATGTGTAAGGATAAAAGTGTCCAGTAGTGGACAGAGAAACAAAGGACTATGCAAAAATGACATTCGAGACGAGACGATGAGATGAAAGAGACAAGGGTCCCCCGACAAACGACAAATTGGCGTGTCAGTCGGAAGAAAATAAAAATTAGAACCAAATGTTCTTTTGTTTTTGTGAAGAGATGAGATTCAGTGATTTTTCGTATAAAACAATTTCATGATAGTGAGATTCTGAATTAATTTGTAACCGATTTTTCCTACTAATAAGCGGAATTCATACTAGGAGCTTATTTACAAAATTCACTTTATTGCAAATCAAATTCATTCGAAACCAGAACAACAGCATGGAGATGGCAATAATCATTACCGTACATCTTCTAATAAAAGCCCACCCATACCATTAACTTCGAGCTCAATTATCTCGGCTCCTATGAGAGGTGTGAAAGTTTTGAGAACTGATAAATTATCTGTCGTAATACCACCAATGTTTCCTCAGTTTTCAGTTTTCTGATATCTTTCACAGGAACCAAGATAAATTGAGTCAAAGTTGATGGTTTTGGTGGGCTTCTAATAAGGGAAACACTGTAATTAAGACTACTGACTTGAACCATATGGCTTTGACTAGATCAAGCACAAAGAACCAAATAGGTAAAATTCAAAATCAGAAAATTATGTAACATGATAAACTGGGCATCAGTCACTCTCGGAGTAAGAACAGGTAAACGTACACCTGTCTTCTTTTAAGTGTCCGAGGGATAATAGGAAAATGATAGAGAATGAGACAATGTCGATACATCTGTCCCGTGTTAACGCCTGACATCTGAACCTGTTGCTCTGAGTAACCTCTTTTGAAATTTGAATCTCCACAAGTAGGTCTCAAGAAACATATTTCGAAAGAAAAAAGGACTTGTTGCAATCAATTCCAATCACACAGGTGCCCGGACTGCCTTCTTCAAAACTATTTCCGCTAATTCGTTGATTTGTCTCTCAATCGTTTTCTCAGTGACACCAACACCCATGATTGGCAATCAATTAGCTTGACGGGATCGCCAAAAGGAACTGATAAATGAGAGAGATATCAATCATCAAAAAGGTCTTCAACCTAAAAAAATGAATAGAGAAAAAAATGGAGAAGAAAAATTATGGAGGTCTAATGGATGGAAAAATGTGTGAAATTGACTGTGGAGATTGGCAGGCGGTGAAAAAATAAAAGCAAAATGGAACGTAACGAAAAAAAAGAATGGATACTGAAGTAACGAAATGGTAGAGAAGACAGGAGAAGAGGAAGGAAATAGTGTTGGTTGGAAAGAGAGACCAGACATAGAAACAGGCACAGGGAGGACGGTTTGAATTTGGCGGGGTGGTTGGCGCCATGGCGTGAAAGAAAGGAAAGGTACGCAGTTGGAGGAAAATGGAATATTGATGAGAGGAGAAAATTAACAAGGGGCAATCGTAACAAAAACAGATCTGATCTAGTCTGAAAACTATTGTTTTTAAGATGTTATGAATTCTAGGTAGAAGCTATGACGTTAATGTGAACTATGTGAAAAACCCAATAAAGTAAAACCTCTAATAGAAGGGTCACCCTCAACTTTTGACTTTGAGCTAATGTTTCTCGGTTTTTGTCAAAAATTAATGTTATATCAATTAACACATTTTCAATATCTTGCATAGAAATCCAGATAATTCAGTTTACAGTTGACACTGTGTGGATCTGCTATTACAGGTTTTTCGGTAAATTGAAAATTCATCGAAAATCAAAAAATTTCTGGGGAATAGAATCTTGAAATGTTGGAAAATTCCGGATAAAAATATGAGCATTTATGCATATCCAATAAAATCAAGACATTTTTGTTAATCATTTTAAACACAAATACCTAACTTAGTCCAAAATCTTCCAAGTGAATGTTCAAATGACTTCAAGAACTTTCAAATGAAAAGGAAAAATTAGGTCAAGTAATGGGAATTCTTGTCTAGTCCTTTTTTGAATGAACGAAATATGAACTTGATCTTAATCGAGCGGACGAGTGAGCGGACTAGTGAATACCGTATTTCCTCTTATAGAAGCTTACCCTAACCGTGGTTTTGGAGCTCAATTATCTCGATTTTTGTAAAAGATATCAACATTTTACCAACTGACAAATGAATAATCATAATATCACCATGCGCTTCTATTAAATACCGTTAATTCAGTCATCATTTAAAAATGTAAAATTATTTTTTGTGAAATTGAGCGTTTTTACTCTGTCAATCAAACAAATTTCCAGTCATTTTGAAACTGTCTGGGGTATTCAGGGTATGTTCACTGATGGCTAGAATCTTAGAAACTGGTTCCCATAGTTTCAAGACATAATTAGTTTAGAAAAAGGTCGAGAATGAGAGAAATAGAGACCATTGAGAATAGAAAAACGTATGTATTTTGCAGTGATTGTCGTCGGCGCGGCGGGTGGAGTTGAGAAAGAGAATGAGTGTGTCAGTGTCACTCACTGATAAATAAATGACCACTGAAGAAGAAGAAGAAGAAGAAAAGACAGAAAAGAGTACCTTTAGGTCTCTCCGGAACGGCTGTCACCTCGAATTCTCTTCATTCAATGTGCTATCCAACCGACCCCATTCTCCCTTCCACCATTTTACTTTTGACCATTGTCCAGTGAGAAAATGGGAAGAAGAACAACGAACACATACCAAAAAAATAGTGAAGAAGAAAAGTGGAGCTAATAAAATAAAGTGAGAAGAAGAAGAACATAGTAAAATAATGGGAAAAGGTATAGAGCACATCATAAAAATAAGTATAACGGAATAATTGAAAAAAGGACGATCTGTCAGGAATTACTAACAGATGACGACTGCCTTCAAACCTGGATTTTATTTCTAATATTTAGAATTAAAAACCTAATTAGGAGTTTCTAGGAATAATGATAAACATTATTAAAGACGCCTATTCCAAAATTGTCTCATGAAGTGTCTTAAAATTGGGAAACAACGCCTTCATAGTGGTGTTATGCTGGTATGCGAAAAATTGGAGACGCGGAAGAGGAACGCCGGTTCCCGTGGACAAAGGTCCCACAACGACAACTACAGTAACCTAAAAAAAACTGATTAAAAGCTGATTGAAAAAAGCTGAGAAATTGACGAAAAGCAGTGAAAAAACAGTGGAAAAATGAAAAAAAACGTGAAAATAAATACCGAAAAATATTTTTGAGTTACGGTAGTGGTCGTTGTGGGACCATCGCCCGCGGCCACCGGCTTTTCTCTTTCACAGCTTAGATTGTTGGATTTCTAACTACGTTTGAAAAAAATGCTTCCAATTTTCCGCACAACTTTTCCTTTATAAATTGAAAACGAAACTAGAAAAAAGAACGGTTTCCTGCCTGCTGTCAGCTAGTTGTGGTCAGGTACGTATATACGTATTCAAATGCAAATTACGACGGACACTTTGTTGCAATCGGCGGTCGTCGAGTTTTTATGGTTGATGACCAATTTCGGAAGGTGTGATTCCAAAGGAGAAGAAGACGTCTTCCAAATTGAAGAATCGATTCACCATTTTTTCAAATAGAACGAAAAAACACATGTAAAACAAAACAGAAATTGAGACATTGTTGATGAGCAAATATTTGATGAATTGGGATGCGCATCGGGGATCATTTTCTTCCTGACTTGTTTTTCAAAAATTATGTTTGACAGGGCAAAAAATGAATAAGAAGATTTTTCAAAAAGAAATTATATTTTCTGCGTTTTAGGTATGAAGTTATTGTTTTTTAAAGATGTAAGAATATACACAAACAAACGTTTATTTTGCCAGGAATCATTTTACTTACATGATATTTAGAATTGTATAAAACTAAACATATCCGATCCACATACATATCATTGAAGCTCAATCAATCATCAGTAGACAATACATTTTAAGACTCCTAACGGGATGGAGTTCTGAACAAGAATGCGTAGATTTTGATTAGACGAGAAGTGAGATGGCAAGCGATGAGACACGGAAACTAATGTAGAAGGATAATTTGATCATTTAGGTTATCAAAAATTAGGTATTTAGCACTTCTGGATCCTGACTGACGGCCCCGTACTGTTTGGAATGGTTGAATCGGTCGATCGCCAGGAACTCCAAACCTCCGTAGATTTTGTGAACTGCTGCGTAGAAAATGCAAGCGATGATTGCCCAATAAAACATTATGGCACTCTGTAAACGGAACATTATAAGTAGAGTAGATAATTATAAATTGCTCACTTGGAAGAACATAAACATCCAGAAGCAAGTGGTGAAGCACCAGAACCCAATCAACCATTTTTGAGCCATATCTGTATTGTTGTCCAGCTCGTACTCCATGCCATCAGGTGTGTCCGGGAATTGGCGTACGTTACGTGGCATTTCGTAAAACCTGAAAATCAACTAGTTTTGAAACTGAAATATAGAGAAACTAGAAACCTTCTCAGTTTCTCTTCCTTATCTCTCCACAAATTGATCAACCATTGTCCAAGAGCTTCATCACTTTGGGGGATTCGATTGATTGGATATTTGACGACTTGATAGAAGATTTCTTTTGGACATACACCATGAGAAGCAATATCTACTTCTGATTGAACAATGGCATCCCCGAAACCAATTGTAACGTCATAAATGTAGTCGATGTTGTTAGCTCTTCTCATGGCTTGCACGATGTGGACGAATCCAGTGACACGTGGATGAAGAACATATTGGTAGTGGACGTGGCCCTTCTTCTCAGCAAACACACGACTTCTTTCAGTTGCCTTCGGACACTTGTCGGTTCCTTCTGGGAACAACAGAAGTTGGTATTTGTTTTCTGTTTCAGCGTAGTAGTTGAGAATATTATCGAGTTTCGTTTTGTCGGTATCAAATGAACGATCCAGGAAAATGTAGGAAGCTGCTTGCATCGCCCATCCAGCTCCAGGAACATATTTCAGCATTCCTTTCAGCGAGATTTTTTCAGATGTACATAACCATGGATCCATTTTGTATAGAGCATTCCAGAAAAAGAGCCAATCAAGACGGGTACGGTGGTTCATGATTATGAGAGAAGCCTCGTCGTGCTTGATGAAGTCTCCCTTGATTCTGATGTTGGCTCCGAAAATGTAGTTGCACAATGCGCCAGGCATTATAGCCCATATCCCAACGAGTCGATCGAGCATCTTTCGCCAAAGAGGTGGCTTCACGAAAAGCAGCACAACAAGAGGAGTGACAATGTACAGTACTCCTGGAAAATTTAGATGCATTTTTCTCGGTTTCTTTGAATAAAATTTACCAAAAAACGCTGATAATAACATTGCTGCAGCGAAGAACCATCCTTTCAGCCTTGTGCCAATCGGTTGGCCTGCTCCCAGAACGGGAGGCTCGTTTAGTGAACTCATTCTGAACTCAAAGATTTAGAAAATAGCAACAACACACAAAGAAAAAAAGTAAAAATTTCAGATTTGCAACTGAATGAGCATAGTAAATATCGAGAAAAATTAAAATTTTATTTTATTAACTTTTACTAAATACAACAAGAAAGAAATATCGAGAACAGAACAATTAAATAAGAAATAGTAACCGAAAACATGTCAATGGCTAACAAAAGAGGGTTGCAATGAGAAATAACGACTAGAATCGAGATAAAAAAGATGTAATCACAATGAGAACGAAATTGAGTGATGATCAATCTTCTCCTTACAACATGAATACAATCACTCTCTACTCCGTTTTACTTCTTTCTTGGTCATGGCGATTACTTCGCGCTTCAAACCAGTTGAGAAAAACGAACTCGGCTCCATTGTAGAATCGAAGAGACGCAATGTAGAATACGATTGCGCAGGTGACATAGATCTGAATTTTATGAACATAGTAAAGATAATGAAAATTCTAATTAAATGAGGAAATAAAAGCAGATTAGAACGGTCGAGAAAACCGGTTACTTACCTTGACCCATAGTAAAGAGTAGATGGCACCGATCCAAAAAAGAGAAGCGACTACCCAGAACGAAAAACACACGAAGTATCCGATACCACTGGTTGTCTCCTGGAAAAATGAAAAATGTCACGTGGAATTTGTGTCAGTTCCGGCGGACGGGATAGAACGGAAAGATATCGCCAGGGGTTTCAAAATTACTTTTGAAATTCGTGAATCAACTAACCGGCCATTCAAAGCGATCGCCACTTGCTTCCAGTCGTTCCTCTTTTTCATAAAACTTCTTCAATCGTTTTTCTTTGGTTTCCCATAAATTTGTAAGCCATTTTTCGCATCCATCTCCTTCAGGAATGTCATCTAATTTGTACTTTTTTACATCTAAGTGAACTTTCTGAAAAATAGAAACATTAAATGCAGGAAAAACACTGAAAACCTACATCAGGAAAGTTTCCACCCAACAACTTTTTCTCTGTATCGACAATAGTTCCGCTGTACGCAATAGTGAGATCATAAACATTTTTGATATAATTCTCTGTAAATTCCTATTCATAGTAATAATCTCTTTTGAAACAAAAATTCACCAACCTTTTTTCATCATGTCCATCAAAAATCTGAACCCGGTGGTTCTTGGGTGCAGCACATATTCATATCGTGGCAATCCATTCTTGTCAGCGAACGCATGGCTCAACTGTGTCGCCCGTTCTCCCTTATCGGTTCCTTCGGCGAAAAGAAGAATCTGATATTTGTTGCCGGACTGCGAATAGTATTTTACGATTCGTTCCAAAATTGGTTTGTCTTTCTCAAAATTTCTATCCAAGAAGATGTAGCATCCACTACTCATCGCCCATCCTGCGCCGGGAATCATTTTGAGAGGAGCTTTGAGAGAAATCTTCTCGGAAGTCAGCAACCATGGATCCATTTTAAAGAGCGCATTCCATGAAAACAGCCAATCCAGCCGTGTACGGTGGTTCATTATCAGAATAGCTGGCTCATCCCTGTCGATTAGATCTCCAGTTACGCGGAACTTGACACCGAACACCCATTCAATCAAAGCCTGAAATATACGAACGATTTTTTTCTGCTTAAAAGAAATACTTTTTTGTATATTGACGTTTGGAAAGCAATCAAAACACTTACACAAGGGAACGTTAGCCAAAATCCAACAAGTCTGTCGGCTGCTAGTCGCCATAACTTCGGCGCAATCCACGCGAGAGGAATAAGCGGAAAGAGAAGAAAAACAGTTCCGAGAAGGGAGGAGAAAAAGACGAGAACGATGAACGCAACGCCTTTCAAAACTTTCATATCGTCATTCTGAAAAAAGAAAACATTTAGAAGCAAAAGAAAACAGAAAAAAGACAGCGTCATGTGTAGAAAAAGCATACTGAGGTGTGAATAAGCGAATAAAAAACTGTCAGTTGGCAAACTCATACGGAATTTCGCAAACTTTTCAAAAAAAAAAGTTTTACAAAAGTACGATTTACTTTTTTCAATGAGGAAATTCGAGAGAAAGCTCTTAAAGCCACTGTTTTTTTTCGCGAAATGCAGCTCGAAAAGCAAGAGAAAGTCAATAAACTGCGTTCGGGCAACGAGACTTGTGTTTCCCTCTGTCTGCGTCTCTTCAAAAGGCGCGCTCTCTAGCACAATCAGAAGAAGAAGAAACGGAGAAGGCATAAATAGAGTACACAGAATTTAGGTAATCGGAAATCTCTTTATTTCAATTGGGAAATTTAAAACTGAGAAAACTCAAAGGAATATATTCAGCTAAATTTTTTTTAGTAATTCGAGACGAGAGCTCGGGAATAATCCATCAAACTTCTGAACATCATTTCCTGTGTTGTACTGCTCTGTAAAACGTATTATGTTTTAATGAAAATTCTGAGCAAACACTCACTTGGTTCCCAATAACATGAGTCCATTGCTCTCGCTATTGGTTTTTCGTCTTCCTGGCAGAGGTTCCAGCCTTCTAGGCCTTGATGGTGTCTCAGCAGCACTTGGCTCCAAGAAGCTCGATGCTCTTTTCATATTATCCAATGTTTCAACTTCTTCTCTTTCAAACCAGAACAGCATTGAAGATGTTACCATACTTCAAATTAAAAAGTTACACAGAATTCAAGTATTACAGTACCTGCTCCTTCTACTCAATGAAATGATATCATTGGCTCGTGAGAGTCTTCTTTTGGTTACTTCAATCTCATTACTCATCTGTTCGTCGTCTAATTTTTTCACTGACGAAACATTTGCCTTTATGAAGTCTACATAAACTCTTCGTTCCGTAACCGAATTGTTGCGACAATCCAAAGTTTCAAGAAGTTTGAATTCGCAGAGTGGTTTCAAAGATGCACATGATGCTAGTCTGGAAGAAGTTTTAAAGAATATATTTGTGAAAATTCTGAACTTACTTGTTATTGGAAACATCTAGAGAAATCAGATTGGGGCAAAACAATGGAGTCAGAGTTGTTAGCTTGTTATTTTGAATATTCAAGGAAGTTAGGGAACGGAGTGGTCGACGGATAATAGTTTTGATTACGTTGTTACTCAAATCAATCGATTCCAGATTAGGAAGATCAAATATAGAACAGTCGAACCTGAAAGTGATTTTCTAATAAGTATGATACAGTTTTCAAACCTAGATAAGGAATTCGAAGACATGTTGATGAATCTTAATTTCAAAAGAAGAGGAATTCCCAGGCGGAGGATAGTTGTATTGTTAATTGCGTTATTAGAAATATCAAGATTCTCAAGACAAGAAAAAGGTTGAAGAGTTTGTCCGTCAGTAGTTGCAATAGTCTTCAGACAGTTGTTGTTCAGTATCAAATGAGTTATATTGAATGAACAGATTTCTCGAACACTGGACAGTCGGTTTTTTGATAAGTCTATCAGACGGATATGGGATAATCTGAAAGTTCATGTAGTACTATTTTACCGTCGTCCAAATGTAATAAAAGGGTCTCATAACGTTTAACTTCGAGCTTATTTTTCTTGGTTGCTGTCAAAGATATGAAAAAGTTGTCAACTAAAAAATTGTCAGAAGTGTTTTGTAAATCAGAATGTTTTGTCAATTGACACATTTTTGATTTCTTCTACAGGAACTGAGATAATTCAGCTTATGTTTGACAATGTGGGGGCTGATCTATTACAGGTTTTATGGTAAAACTTAATCCTATTAAACTGTTAGAAAAATCGGAAAACTCACACACCGATAATTACCGGAACCTGGAAATATGTTCCTTTTTAGGGTTGACTGAGTTAGTCAATGTTTCTGTTCGAAAACAAGTCAAGTAGTAAAACATTTAGATAATTAAGAAGTTCTGTAAACAACAATTCTTCTGCAGGGTACGGTAGCTGCCGTTGTGGGACATTTGACAACGACCACCTCCGTTTCTCTTCTACAGCTTCAATTTTACGCATTATTACTAACTCGTCCATCTGTGCTTTTTCCAAAATAATCTGCTCAATTTTCTGATCACAAATCATGAGTTCCCTTTTACTTCTCCACTCGGGACATCTGAAAAAATTCGAATCCTCGTTTCAGATTTCCTTTCAAACTCACATCCTTTCGATCAACTCTAAACTTAATCCTCTTGTTGTTTGTTTCATAGTATTCACATGACGTTCTTCCAGAGGAATCTAAAATTTTAATTTGTGAAGAGAGTCATTTTTTGAACCTACAATTTGTCTATCGAGAGAAATCAAGTATTGGGCGGCTTGCATGACTTTTGATCGGTATCCTTCTGCAGTACTCAACGGATTGGCTGATATATCCAAATGAGTCAACTTTGGCAGTGCCTGAATGAAAATGATTTTCATAAAATTAAATGCTCACTAACTTTCAAAAGTTCCAAGTCATTTTTATCTTTTAGAAGATTATCATTGATGAAAAACAATTCCAATTGTACACATGATTCCACTCCTTTCATTGATTTGATCTGGTTTCGATGAACACGGAGATGTCGAACATTCTAAAGCAGATATTCATAATGAATCAATGTGATTTGAACTTACTCCCAAACTTTGACAAACTGATAATGTTTGTAATCGGTTGTGACTCAAATCAACATAGAGAAGAGAGCTGGGTAATTGATCAAGTTTGGAAATGTGGTTGAATGATGCGTCAAGAAGTTTTAAGCATGGTAGCCGGGTAAGTTTCTAGAACACAAACAATTATATGGGGAAGACGAAAAATTAAAGAAAAAAAGTTACTTTGAGAGAAGTTAATTTGTTCTTGCGAATAGAAAGATACTGTAAACTGACAAGCTCTTGAATACCTGCTAATTTAGTGAGTTTATGATCACAAAGTTCCAATACCGTTAATCGAACCTGGAAAGAAGTTGTATAGAATTTTGAATACTCACTGATAATGAGTATTACTCAGTGACCTACCATCATATCATTAATCTCTTTAATTGGTTTAAAATCAAAATAAGCAAGTGCAATTTCCAATGGATTCCTTATTGTGAACCAATCAAATGGTATCTTCTCGTCACAAGCTCTCCCGGTCAAATTACTTATGTTGGACAGTACATCAGATACCTTTTTGATTTTCGATTGTTGGTTACTAACTGCCTCAATTGAAGTTTCAGCAGGGTCTTCGTTTCGACGATGTCTTTCTTCTTTAACATCCAATTTGATATTCATATCATTCAACTTTTTTAATTGTTCATTATACGAATCTTCGAATTGATCCATATATCTCAATTGATCCGTTGTCAACTGCCCAATTGGTTGGATTTCCACAGCCAGCACAGCAACCAAACTGATATCAGACCATACTATATTATCATTCGAAGAAGACATTCCATCGTCATCTATGAACTTTGAGGCACCACGAGCAGTTGCAGCTTTGGAGAGGACTAGTGGAATGAAGAAAATTGTCGTTTTCTCTTTTGCTTGTTTTTTGATAACTTCAAAATCTCTGACGAGTCGAACTGAATGTTTTGTGTAGTCTCTCCTGGTAAATCTATCCAGTAAATTGAATATTGTTCTTATATCAAAAAGTTTTTCGGTTGAATCCTTTTCTAGAATAAACATCCGTTCGGTTTCATTTTTAGATACATTTCCAACCAGTGAACAGGATTTCACAATGATCTGAAATATTGGATTTTGAAGAACTGACTTGTCCAGTTAAAAAAACTGTAATAGAAGAGCCCCTTAACTTTCAACTTTGAGCCAATATTCCTCGGTTCCTGTGAAAGATATAAAAACGGGGTAAAAGCGAGGAAGATGTCGTTTTATCAGTATATTGGTGGGGTCTAATAGTGTCTGCACCCCAACGGAGATCATTCCCCCCTTTTCGTGTAATGAGATATGCTCACCGTTTTCGGCTCTATTAATTTCCATTTTTACACTATCATTTTAGTTGTATTTATATCTGATCTTAAATTAGCTGAAATCGATCTCCAACTAGTAGCGGTTAACAACGCAAATGCACCCATTCGAACTACCATCACAACCTGGATTCAGTAATTTGAAAAACAGGAATTCTTGTTTGACGAAAATCCCCCTTCAAAAAGGCAAATGGGCTTAGGTTTGGATGCATTAAAAGCAGGGAAAGAAAGGGACCTGCCTCAAACTGTGTGTGATATATGAAGTACATCAGTGGCAAGCCTTTCGTTAGAAAACCGTAGATTGAAAACTCTCGGCACAGTCAAAAAAGTGGGAAGAAATTGACCCCATCTTTTGGCTCAACGCAACTTTTTTCCTTGGTTGGGCACCTGTTTGAATCTTTTCATCCTGCGTTGCACACATGAATGTTGGAATCAAACCATTGCTAGTGGTGATAAATGGGTAATGTGTGATTACAACAAGCGACAAGCCAAATGGGTTGACAAAGGCGCTCAACCACCAGACGTCTCGAAACGTGAAATTCGTGTTAAAAATGGGATGTTGTCGGTATGGTGGTCTACCAAAGAATGGAGTATTAGGAGCTGCCTGATAATAGTGTCACTTTTACGACCCATACCTACTCTTGTCAGGTGACATAACTCAGACTTTATGTGGATCTCCATTGGAGAGGAACGCAAAGGTGTATTTTGAAAATTAAAATTAGCAACCTCATGCGGGAAGGAAGACCCAGTCCGATCTCGGTGGATATGTCTAGACGATTCTGCCTTATTCACTGTATAGCTCTAACCTTCTACTTTTTGATTATCACCCATCCAGCCACTTCTAACGTCATCTTGATTGACGAAAATTTACTTCAAAACAACGTATCAAAAATCGGTTAACTTGATTTTGAACTCGCTGTGACCGGAGTTCTGGAAGGAAAGCATCCACAATTTAGTGGGGCATTGGCAGATAGTCATTGATAACGATGATCATTACCTCCAATTTATCCGACATCGTTTTGATCTATTTTACTTTGAACGTATCTGACGCTAAAAATGGAAAGGACTTTCCGAACAACCTAATATTTTACAAGAATCGAGATAATTGAGCTCAAACTTGACAGTGTAAGGGCCCTTCTATTACAGTTTTTACCGTACCTCATAACTGTTTTTCATTGAGCAACTGTAGTTTAGAGTCTGTGTAATGAAAGCAACTTCTTCTGGAGTTCCATCTCTCAAATCAAAAGTTTGGCAGGATTCCAGATCACATGCGATACGATACTTCGCCAGAGCTCGAATATATTCTGATAACAATGCGTAGTTTTCTGAGTTAATTAGTCTAAAGAATAGAAAAAGTTCATCTAAATACTTTTAATGTTTTTCACAGCTTTCGAATTGTTCACACAAATCTCATGAACTCGTTTCACAATTTCCTTTTTCGCATCTTTTGTCTGCATTCCATCCTTATAAACCGTCAATGCTTCCGCCAGACATGCCAATCGATTTTCAATTTTCCCAGTATGCTTGTCTACGATTCGCAAATCCTTATAATATTTTTCATCTGCTTTCGCCAGTTTTCCCAATTTTTCAGCGAAAATAGTATCAACCATTGGTCGAAACGTAACAACAAACGATTCCGAAATTGGGTCATCATCAATAGACTCGATGAATCGAAAGGAATGAGCAATCCAGGCAAAGAATAGATTGGGGGATACTTGAGATTGGGATGTTATCGGATCAATATTCAGAGAACGGAGAGAAGAAAGCATTGTTAATGGAAAGAGAGCTCGATTTGAGGAAAAGCAGTTGGCAGAAACATCCAGATGCTGTACGTTTTCTGGCCAAACTACACTGCCAATGACTACAAAAACATAAGATTATTAGATCAAGAAAAAATTCAGAATATACCGTAATCCTTCATTTTGTTGTCAGCCAAGGAGAGATGTGTCATATCTTTCAGGTTTTGGAGGAACTGAAACAATTTTTTTCACGAATCGCATAAAATAGAATAGGAACCAACTCGTTCCTTTGTTTATTTTATTAGTATGGTTTGAACATCTACAGTAACCCAAAAATTCGTTAAAATTACCGTAAGTGTCTTTAATTTGTTACTGGCCAAGCTGAGATGTTGCAAATTAGTAAGCGCGGAAAGACAGCTTGCATCTTCGATAGAATTATCATAGAGATATAGTTTTTTGAGTCTAATGCAATGATCAATTCCAGCCAAATCTTTAACTGCTCCTTCACAAACCCATAGTTCTTCAAGAGTTGGAGCAACTTCTCCAAGTGGTTTCAAACAAGTTATCTGTTGTCCAAAAAGGCGAAGAGTTGATAAATGAGAGAAATATTTTAGACCAACAAGAACTGGCAATCCACCAAAATACATTTCCAGAATTTTGTGAGAATCTCCTTCCGTCTAAAAATCTGAAATTATTTTGCATGCTTTTTTGAAACCCACTTTGAGTGTGGAAATATCGATTCCATTTGCAGAACATAATGTTTCCAGATACTTTATATATTTTGCTTTTAAATTAGATAAAGAATTTGCAACTTGAGAAGCTGTCGCCAATAGGTTCGGCATTTTCGAATAGGTAAGAATAACTTTTCGAGAAGTCCGTTCCGACTCGGTGAACCCATTTCCGGAGGTTTCGATTCGAAGAAGGAAGAAGGCGCGACGACGATTTCCGGCTCGCTTCTTCTCTTATTCACTTTTTTCCGATCTTATGGCTGGAAAATGTTGCAACTTCATGTTTAAAGAAGTAAGAATCAAAAGTTTGAAATTTTGGGGCTTTCTGGAAATTTTCATGAAAATTATTTTTCAAATTGTGCTGAAATAATGACTTCTGGCAGAAACTTAATTTCGGTCAGACCTATGACATTATATCATGAGGTAGATTCGCAGGGATCATTCTAAAAGAGAACATCGATTCTCTTCTGAACCATTGACGTCCAGTGTTTGTATTGTCGGATTAAAAAAAGTGACACCAGAAAATCTCGGAGACGGCGCTCGTGTCGAATTACGAGGGGGCGGGGCGAAAACGGATGCTGTAGATAACAAATTATCGAACGAGCTGTAGTTCTGAAATATTACGTTTTTGCCGCACTTTTTCGTAGATAAAAAAACAAAAGTTTTCAAATTCTCAGGTGTCACTTTTTTCAATTCGACAATAAGGTACTTTCCAGGGCCGCGCGAACGCAGCCCCGTTACGCAAAAATTGAGCTGTTGGCGAATCTCAACTCGAGACTGCCCATCCAAAAGTCAGCCCATCCGAGACTGGTCAGCCCATCCAAAAGTGCAATGGATAGGCCTCGCCATGGGGATGCCGCCTTCATGATCGCGGAATGCCCCCAGCCAGGTAAGTTTATGAGTCGCCGAGCTGTGGGGGTAGGAGTGACGAGTGTACGGACATCTCCCGGGTTCCGCCGTCCACTATGTTTAGCGTGTGAAGTGGGCGGAGTCTTGGGGCGAGGAATGATGAACCATTTTTTATTGTTTGGTGTGGGTTGTGATTTAAATAAAAACTATGCAAGCCAAAAATGATTTATTAAGCAATCAAAAAAAATACATTTGACATTGAAACTACTAACACAAAAATTAAGTAAAAACTGGATGAATGTTAGACGGCTAGAAAAGGAGGCGATTGGCTGGATCATACTCGAGTTTGTCGAGATTTGGAGTGCAGGCGAAATTAATCATTGGTGGTGGGCCGCACATCAGGACAGCCGAATCCGGTCCTGGTGGGAAGAGGTTCTCCTTAAAGAAAAGTGATGTAAAAATAATTGAGCTCAAATATACACAAACCTTGATCATACTGTCATTGATGTGTCCAGAGGAATATTCCAAACTGCTGGTGGTCTGCTGATAGTATACCAAACGCGGAAGCGGTCTGGGTGCTTAGCCTCCAAATCATCAAGCTCTTGTCTACACAGAATGTCATCTTCTGTCTGATTAGCGAACAAGAGTCTGATTTGAGTGGAATCGGTTGGATCCCGAAGAATAGCTGCAATGACTTGAAGCATTGGGGTGATTCCTGATCCTCCAGCAATCATTGACAGAAGTTTGAAGCTGCGATTTGTTGGTTCCGATTTTTTGTCGGCTTTCAAACTGAAAAGTCCCTGTCCCTTGTAGACAATGTTTCCTTGTGGTCCACGGAAGCTGATCGTGTCTCCGATCTTGAGGCTCTCCAAGTATTGACTCATTTTCCCACCATCTGGGAACTTCTCATTGGTATTCTTGAAATAAACCTTGACCATCAAATCGACGAATCCCTTGTCTTCGTCACTGGATACTGGAGTATATGGACGAACGATGAGCTTTCCATCGATCTGAAAACAAAAGTTATGTCAAACATATCCGAGTTCATTGCACTCACCGTAGCACTGAGGTAGACGTGTTGTCCAATTGGAAGTCCAAGAATGTGATCCTTGGATGGAAGTCCAAATCGGAACTTTCTCGTATTATGACTGATCTCGAACTTTTCGATTAATGGAAGTGAGTATTTGACTGATTCATCGAGAATCGTTCTTTTTGAAATCTTAAGGCGTTGAATTAGGTTAACTGAATACATATTATCATCTTACATTTTTACAGGCTGAGAACGGACAGGTTTTGGTAGTCTTCAGGTACAGGTAAATTGTAATACTCGAGACCACAACGACACCTCCAGTTACGAAAATAGTGTTATTTTCAACCATTCTTTCTGTAAAACTGTTGATCTTACAGGGTTCTATAATTAGGGGGTTGAAATCAACAAAAGAGAATTTTAAGCGGTCTACTAATTTTCGAGTTATGTCGATTTTCACGTTTACCTTTTTTTCAGGTATCGACTGATGAGAGAAGCTCATTACGACTACTCGGCTGTCGGCGCCAATACTTAGCCAGACCTCCCACCAGTCTAGCACGCCTCCGAGCACATTATGCTATGCATAATTGTTAAATTCCGGGCCGGGCCGGGTCAGAGCCGCGTCAAAAAATTCTTCCGGCCCGAGAAGCTGATTTTTTGAAAAGTTTTCAGAAAAATTTGTTGAATCCCATCTCACAAAAAAACTTCCTAGGTAAATCCGCTGTTTCAAAAGTATCAAAACTTCGGTATTTTTTGAAATTTTGGCGAAAACTTCTAAAGTTTTTTTTAAAACTTCGGAATTTCGATAGTTCAGAAGCTGACCCGGACCGGAGAATTTTTTATTTTGACCCGGCCCGGCCCGGCAAATGACGAGTATGATTTTATGTTCTAGTCAAGACTTGTGGGAGGCTTGTGCACATGAATTTTCCGGAACGTTTTTCAAAATAAATTTTTTCGCGCTCTTTTCATTTTTGGTCGCAATTTCGCTGTGTAGCGACTCAGTAATTCATTTTCAGCATGCGCGTCGATACTCAACGCGCTTAACTACAGTATTCGCGTTAGAGCGCATTTACTTGAGAAAATTCACCGTGCTTGTGTTAGACTTGTAGGCGGCTTTGTATGTTTTCGTTGAAAGTTCTATTGTGATTGTATTTAGAATTACATAGACTAAAACATTTTATCAGAACAATACACAAAACGAACGGTGAAATAAAAAAAATAGAATCACAAAAAATTTCCACCTTCTCGTTTCTTTTCTTTGGAATCCGTTGAAGTT